GAAACACAGCATGTAGATATGCCATAATATGGCCATGGTCCATGTCTAACTGTGCATGTGAAATGTATTCCTGTTATATAAACCTGTTTCTTGGGGTAGTGGGGTATGACCTTACCATAGAAAAAAAGGTCACACCACCTTTGATCAGGGAACTGCTGTGGACTCCTCTTGGCTCCTATCCAATGAAAAAACACAGTTCCTGCTTGGCAGCCAGCAGCCATCTGTTTTGTTCATGTTGGCCATAAAATCCTATGATTTTCACTGGATACTTGATCACAAGATGCACCTCTCTGGTTTGCATGCCCATCGACTTTGCACACGGGAAATGTTGATATTGTCTTGGTCTTCTTATATGAAACCAAGCAAACTATACAGTAAACCTGAAACAAGGAATCCTTACACCCTAAAACCCTGCCAAGTGAAAACCAAAAAAGACGATATTTCTAATAGAAAAAGAGCTCTACGTTTTCTACACCTGCTGGAGAGTTTTAATCATTTTAATCTTTGCAGTCTGCGAGGGGGTTGGAGGAACCAGCAGAGATGAACCAGCCCAGGCTGAGCGCGTGGCAATGGGTTGCCCATCACTACCTCACAGCAATCGCCGACCGCCTTGACCCTGGTGGATTAACTCAAAACAGCAATTTTCATGGTGGCCTGGTGGAAATCAAATCCATCATATCTTCTGGAAAAAGATATATGGTTCCAGAATGTTCCAGGAAACTCATAATTCCCTGAATGTCAAATCTCCTGGTCATCTGAATTTCGGCCAAGAGACTGAACGTTCTCCTGTCTGCATGGCTAGACATGCTGGGAGCCGCATTGCTGTGGACCGACCTGATGGCAGAGCGGCTGACGGGATCATCCTATTATCCAGTAATATCCAGCTGGTTGCTGGTTGACCAACCCCTCTGAAAAATGATGGACTTCGTCAGTTGGGATAATGACATTCCCAACTGAATGGAAAAATAAAAAATTCATGTTCCAAACCACCAACCAGCCAGTATAGATCAATATAGTTGATGTGATTGATGTGATCCCATGATCTTCATCCTACCTAATTATGCACTTTTCCTTACTAGTTACTAGTTGATATCGCCACAATGGTGAACCTCAGAGGAGCCTGGGTGACGAGGTTGGTACCAAGTAATTGAAATCATGCCCCGGAAAAACAAAACACTGGCGGTTTCTATTTCAAGCCTCCGGAACACTAATCTTATATTCAATCAATATCATCACCACATTTTTCGGGATGGAACATGAATTGTGAACCACCAACCAGCCCATCTGGTGCAAAATTGGTCCGCAGTGCCCTCCAAAAGACCAGGGTGCTGGGTGCCCCGACGTAGTGCTTTCGGGGGGCACAGCTGACCCGGAGACGGAATCTTTTGCGCTGTTCTCTTTCATGTCAGGTACGACCTGTCTCCGGACATGATGCCAAGGACGGCATCACGGGTGACTATCATTATATATATATACAATATATATATATATATATATACTGTATATAGAGAGAGAGAGACCACAAAAAGATTTTTTTTTTAAAAAAAAAAAGTCATTTGCCAACATTATTTTACTCTTCTATCTTTTTGGGGTTGCTATATGATATTGGTATATATTGGTTATATTATGGCATTCGAGGGATGAGTTCAGCATAATTACTGCGTGAGATGAGACAAGAAATACAGTAGCATGAAATAGATTTAGCCAGCAGTTCTGGTGCAGAGATGATTGAACCAACAAAATGATCCATATCTTTTTGAGATGGGGCAGTTCCGTTCCTATGCCCAAGAGTCTGATTAACCGCCTGGTGGGGGCCTGTCACTGAGCCAGAACAGTTGAGCCAGGGATCCAGTCGTTGCAGATTTCCCAAGCATGCCTAGCTCACCTTTTACTTCACTACCCACTATCGCAAAAAAAGGATCCCAGGGAGTTAACGTGGCAAACCTAATTCCATAAATCCTCCCTGATTGGGGTTTATTGTTGAGTGTATAATAGTGTCTACAGTACAGGATTCTCTGTCTGTTGGGGATGATGTTTTCTATTATTACAGTCATCCTGCAAACATTGCTATTACCATCAGTATCATCATTATCATCATTATCATCATTGTCATTGTTATCACTATTATCAGTGTTGTCATTATCATCATTGTCTTTATGGTCATCATTATCATCAGTATTATCATTTTAATCATTAGTATTATCATTTATATATTATCCTTAGTATCATTATTATCGTTATTGTCATTGTCATTATCGCCATTAAGTATCCATGTGATTCTTTTAGAAACAATAAGTGATGTTAGTCGGTTGGTTCGTTTACCACCTATGCCACACCACCGGTCGAAATGCGTCGCCGCGTACCGGGCGTCCCCACCGGATTCGAAGGGGCTACGCCCTGTGCGCAGCCCATCAGGGATGGAACCTGGTTGCAGCCCATGATGGAACCCATTGGGGGATGTATCAAACAATGCTACCCTCTGGTAAACTAACATAGCTATTGAAAATGACCATTTATAGTGGATTTACCCATTAAAAATGGTGATTTTCCATAGCTATGTGGCTGTTTACCAGAGGGTACCACTAACAAAATCTACGGGTTCTTGCTGCCAACACTGGTTAGATTTGGGTTTTCATTCTGACTTTTTGAACTCGCTTGAGCTAAGAAACGCTCATGTCCTGACGGACAGGTAGCTTCACTTTTTGCTTACCTTTTATAACGTACGGGATGTTTTGAGTGCACAGTTCCCTGTGAATTATCAGTCGGTACTAAAGATAGAAATCCTACAAAGGCATAAGAATGATCCACAATTAGACCTCTTAGTCTCCCAATATATGCAGACAATACTGAAGGTGGGAAAGTTCAGAAAAGCTTTGAAACCCTGCAAACTATGTTTTTTTCCCTGTTGCCAAGCCTACAGCTATCTTCATTGAAAATCTAAGAAAGTTTTTGGAATGGCCAATATTTGCCCTTGTTGCGATAGTGTTTTGCAGATTGTTGCTCACGGCTCGCAGGAAAAATCATCATGTTCAAAGCACCAAAATTCCCACGGGGGTGTCTTCTTGAAAATATCCGTGGCACATGGTTTAACTTTTAGATATTGTACATATTGTACCTTAGTGAATTCACAGTTAAGTAGATTTTGCAGATGTTTGCCACAAAACCATGAATTGCTATGAATTGTCCAGATAGGTTTGATCACTTTCATCCCACAGAGGCCCCTTTATCCATGGTAGGTTGATGTAGGTTGTTTAGCCGAAAAAATCATGGCAAAATCCATGCCATTGGGGGACAAATAAATAGCAATAATGAAACATATTCATTTGCATTGGCCACCCAGTGTGGTTGGTGTTTTCAATCCAAATACCAGGCGGAAATGGTGGAAATCCATTTACTTGAACGATGTTTCAGACATTTTCAGACCACCAACCCCCCAGGCCCAGTATTTTTTTTGCGAAAGGTACTTGTCGTCGACTCCGGACCGCCACTGCTCGTTCCTTCGGAGCTGCGTGACGGAATCGACTGAGCCAAATGCAGTTGGCGGTCGTGGCTGGGTGTGAATTGTGAAATGCAGGGTGATCCATTTTCCCATTATTATATATTATATTTTATATATATTATTATATATATATTATATTATATATTATATATATATTATTATATATATATATTATTATATATATATATTATTATATATATATATATATCATTATATATATATATATTATTATATATATATTATTATATATATATTATTATATATATATTATTATATATATATTATTATATATATATTATTATATATATATTATTATATATATATTATTATATATTATTATATATATATATTATTATATATATATGTATATTATTATATATATATTATTATATATATATATATTATTATATATATATTATTATATATATATATTATTATATATATTATTATATATATATATATTATTATATATATATATATTATTATATATATATATTATTATATATATATATTATTATTATATATATATTATTATATATATATATTATTATATATATATATTATTATATATATTATTATATATATATATTATTATATATATTATTATATATATATATATTATTATATATATATATTATTATATATATATTGTTATATATATATTATTATATATATATAATAATATATATATTATTATATATAAATATTATTATATATTATATATATATATATATATTATTATATATTATATATATTATATATATTATCTATATTATATTATATTATATTATATTATATGTTATTATATTATATTATATATTATATATTATATATTATATATTGTATATTATATATTATATTGTATATTATATATATATTATATTATATATATATTCACCAGCAATGCACTCATTGGTGGTGAAAAGTATACGGAAGTCGCCTTCAACCAGTGGTTGGAATGAATATCCATCAAGAGGTGATGACAACACTGCCCCAAAATCTGAAACACTGACTGTTGCTCCCTTTAATGCTCCCATAAACGCTCCCATAAACGCTCCTTGTATGGTGTATTTTTACATACATTTAGGGTCATCTATGCTGGACATTGAGCATATGGGATTCAAGAAGTTGAGTTAACATTGAGGAAGGCGAGTGACGATGTCGTTGGGGGCTCCACACAATTTCAAGGGTAAACATGGTGTTTCACCGGAAAATAAGACCCTTGACCCTCTGAAATCTGCTGGTCCGAGCTCGTTCAATGAGGCGCCCCTAGAAAAACCTAGTTCACCAACCTGAAAAGAGGTCGTGTTGATATCGGCCAATATCGGCCAATCACAAAAGGATTCAGCAAGGATCATTAAACATTGATGCTTTCGAAGGGAAGAACCGAGGAAAGCACGTGGATTTCTGGCTCAAAAGAAAGCCAAAGTAAGCCATGAACCAAACCATCTTGGACATCTCCAATCTCCAAAGCCATCGACATCGCTCCCCTCATTTTTTTCCTCATGCCAAGCGCTGAAAGATGTGCAGCCCACGCGAGCCGGAGATCACATCGCTGAACTCATTGACCTTTGGGGATCTGTTGGGATGATCGGCGATGCCATAGGTCTCCTTGGAAGCCTTATGTTTTTTGGGACCGGGGCGTGGTATGAACCTCCAAACTCGGATGAGGATCCAGTTTTAAACCTTCCCTGGATGGTGGTTCCAAGTTTGGAAACACAATCTTGGATGGTCTAGCAAAACTCCCCACACTCAAACGCAATGCCCAAGTTCCTGGGAAAATGGATGAAAAAGGAGGGAAAACCATCCAACTTCTCAGGAGTCTCAGTGGCCCCAGTAATCCAGCGAGACGAGTGGCGGCCAAAGAGAAGATGGCTTCGTCCAGAGGGGCGTCCATCTGCCCTTTAGCCTTGGATCGCCAAGATCATAGATATATCATATATATATATATTAGATTATATTAGGTATCAACAAACAATCAACATATCTAGATACCTAATATCATCTGGATGTTGTTGAATGCTGTTGATTGCTGTTGATTGCTGTTGATCATCTAGATATATCTAGTTATGGAGAACCAATCAACAACAATCAACAACATTGAACATATCTGGCTGCCCGTTTCAACATCAGATCAGCCCAATCAGCCCATTCTTTGGGGATGGCAAATGAAACATACTTAAAACCACCAACTATAGAGTCTGTAGAGTACACAATTATGTGATGCCTCCCCAAGCCACTGGCTGGTCACCTTTGGATTAAATCAAACCCTTCGGCCTGGGTCCATTCAGGGTTTTCAACCCGTAAAGATCAAAGCATTGCAAGCGACATGTCCTATAGTGGTCCCCAGAACCGCTGGAAGTCTTACACAATACACCGCCCAAGTAGTGAGGTGATAGTCTGATAGTCCACCTCAACCTCAAGGCAGACACAAATTATAGGTCGCTATCAATTATAGCTGTCTATGAATTTGGGGCGTCTATTATAGGTGTCTATGATAGTCCACCTCAAGTATATTATTATGATGTAGATGTATATGGGTGTTCCATATCATATTCAGTAATCAGGACCATGCTGTGGTAGATGCAATAGATTCAATAGACCCCAAACAGAGGATTGTTTTCACTCCATTTCTGTTTATTCTTGGGTTTGCCGCATCATGGAAAAATCTATCATCACTCGCATATTCAATTCTGCAACTTAAAAGAAGTCCTCATCGAAAATCGGGACAAGCGGAAGGCCATCACAGAATCAGCGGTGCCAGATTTCGTTCCCCACTCTGATCCGGTTAAAGATGTAGTGTATTAAATATATATAAATATAATATATATATATATGTGTGTGTATACAGATACTATTTTATACTTAACTACACTGGACTATACTTAACTATTCTGAAACTACACTTACATAGTGTTGCGTAACATGCTTAACTGTGCCTATAACCTCCCTCCGATTCACCGAAATAAAACCCAAGTGATCCATCATGGAGACCGGCTGCCGAGACCTGCCATGGTACAATCCATCCCAGATCGCCACAGAGCTGCCCTGGATGTTCACCCGTCTGGCAGTCCGAAAGCTCCCTGCGCCAGACACCCAGGAATTTTTGTGGTGTCCGATTTTTGGGTGAAAACTCAGGGGTACTTAGTGTAATTAGTGTGTAACTATGATAAATTTATGTGTATAAGTCGCAAGAATGCAGAAATTCAGACATTGGTGACAATTCTTTTGGCATACCGAGCTGGTCCGTGGCAATCGGAGAAAAGAATTGGCTTCGTAAAATGGGGGACAGCCGGGATAGTACCCAAAAAGAAACTAATTTATGGCAGCTTCAACAAGAAATCGATAATAAACCATGATACATCATGATACATCATTGGATTTTGAGCCATGATAAATCATGGATAATCATAGGGATTTTCAGGTCATTGCATATCATTCTCATGGTTTTCACCCCAAGAACCAACCATCTACTGACCTGCAGAGCTTCGGGAACTGATTCGGCGTCTTCAGTAGCGTCTCCAAGGTCTTCAGGGCCAACTCCTCCGTCTCCTGCACCGTTCGCCCCGGGTCTCGCCGGAGCATCGCATCGGCCTGGAGGCGTGGCAGGGGACCTCCGAATATCACTGGATTGGTTGAAGGGAAAATCTACAGGAAACCATGGTTTTTACCATATAGGGCTTTCCTGTAGATTTTCCCATAATCCAATTCTATGATAATAGTGATGATCCCTGATATAATATGATATTTAATGCGGGGTTGACATCATGCAAAAAAAAAAGGTTGGTGACGTATATTCTTCCGTTCACAGCGTACAGAAAAAAAAAAACATGAAGTTTCTATATGCAACCCAGGTTTACCCAGCTTTTCATGGAGATGTCTATAGATGTCTCCATCCTGTTTTATTATGTTTTATCTTTTTGTGGGTTGTTTAACTGGGCGGAAATATTCTGGATGCCGGTAGGTTTACGAACAATCTGGAGATGAACAGAAATGTAGGCTCGAAAGGCTCAAAGAGAAGCACCGAGTCGCCTGTCTCACCTGCTGATGTCTCAGTAAAATATGGCGCCCACGCACCGTGTCAGCTCCCTGCGCGGTCTTCTGGCGTTTGGCTGGCGCCTCGGCCTGTCGGAACCATCGGGTGAGTTGCACAAGTGTTTCTGGATGTTTTTTCTGGATGTTTTTGGCGTGAGTTCCATAGGAATGTTTGAATTTCAAACTGTCAATCCTGGTCGCCCCAGCCTTGCCGCTGGGGCTGATGCTGATGCAAACCTCGGTCGCATTTTTCTGGTTGGAGCCTTGATGGCGTAGTCACTTGTAGTGACATGCATAGAACCAATCTAAGCCCAAAGTCATCTATCCAAAAGCTAATCTGGATAGGTTAGAACCTATGTTCTACTACTGGTCAACAAAAAAAGGCTCCTGGATTATGTCTATTCCTGGCTGATTCACACGTTGGCCCTCGTCTCAAGGACCTTGGCCATGAATTTTTCGTAGCCGAGAGATGCTAAAATCTTGCTAGAATCTTGCTAAAATCTATGGGGGTTGTTTATTAAATCAATAGTTGTATTGGCTCGAAATTCTCTGGACCATGCTGATCATGCCGGGTCCCAAAAACTGGATTGTTTATTACAAAAAAGAAAACACGGGCCTATGGGGACTCCATTCTTGAGCCGTAGCTGTAGCACGCCGTAGTATGCCGTAGTCATATCATGTCATATCAAGCTTAGAAGGTGTAGATATCCCAAGTTCATGTTCCTAAAATGGGACCTACACGCCATAGCCCGGAAGTGCTCATGAAAACTGGGTGATTCAATTGCCCATCTTGGCTGTACACTATGTTAGTATTAACACCCCAAAAATTTACAATTAAGCTCTATCATGTCCCATATACTCCCTCAATCTCTCTTCTTCGGGTCTCAACGATACTCAAGTCCAAATACAACAAACCCTACCCAATCCAAATTTAGGGGTACTACCAGCGAAGCAGCCAGATAGTTGTAGTACCGCTGCTCACTTCCACAGTAGTTTTTGGTCTAGTTTTTCCAGGTATTTCTTAAGTCATTGAATCCTCCAAGAATTTCTTGGCGACTCAAAAATCACAATCATCTCCATCCAGGAGGCTTTGAACTTCCATAGCGAAACAAATACTTTCGATTAAACAAGGTAAAGTGCCATCAGAAAACTCATCTTGACTTTCACCCAAATTACATTACTTCATAGTTCTGTGCATCAGCAAGAACCCTGCCATTCACCTCCTGTTCCACTTCAGCAGGGGGCTATACGCAAGGGACTCTTCAACCACATTTTCTATAACGTCAATGGAGTGTGACACTAGACAGCTATGAGCAGATGGGCTGCCGGTTACATGAGGAAATCTTGCAGTTTTCACGGATTCCAAGTGCCTCTAAAATCAAGGGTTTTTCACTTGCTTTCACTCCTAAATCACGGGTTTTTCACACACTTGTCACGTTTTTTGTTGACACCATTTGATTCTCATTGAAGTGCGAAACTAATCCCTCATGATGCTCACAAAAAATGTGATCATGGCTCCATGGTTTGATATGTTGATTAATAATAATTATACATCTAGGTGATCAATAGCGAGCATCTTAAGCCTTCCCAAGTGAGACATTTAATGATGCACAGGGAATGGAGGCATGATCGACTTTGCAAAGATGGCAGTTCAACTAGAACTGTAAGTTCGGGGAAAGGGCTTAAAATCATTCAAAATCTAGGACCTAGGAATTACTCAATGGATTGGTTTAAGGGAAAATTTACAGGAAAACACCATATTTAATGGGAAAATCTATGGTTTTCATCATGTTGTTCCAAGAAAAAAACTCACGGCTTCCCCTATTTTCTGAAAGCCACTGCCGCGCTGGAGGCTGCTTCAGCTGCCAAGCCGTTCCAGGCCAGTGCGGAGGCTTTTGGCCTGGAACCATCAAGGGAATTTGCATTAATTATATATATATATATACAGTATATATATATATGTATATATACACTGTATATAAATGATGTAATATATATATAATTATATATATATGTGATATATTTATATATTTATGTGGATTTTGATCTGGGTTCATCAACCCCCCCATCTTGAGTTCCTATTCATTGTATGCATTGGTAGATGTATGAATTCCCCAGTTGGATGCATCCAGTTACCATGTGTGGCACCTCGAAAAATGGGGAACCATATGGGGGTTTCCTGGAATTTGGATACCCCCAAAGCATCCACTTTAATAGGATTTTCCATTATAAATAAACCATCCATTTTGGGATATCCCCATTTCAGGAAAGCCCCAATATGTTCTTAACCGTGAGATGGAATTGGCTATGGGAAATTATCATATGCTTGGCGGTCGAGCTAGAGTTAAAAGTCATGTCTTTGTTTCAAGTCAGTGGGGATCATAATTAGTCCCATTTGTTGGGACAAACAAAACATACTACCAGTATTGATCCAAACAAATCAATTTTGGGGCCACTTGTAGCCATGTTCTGAATGTTAGCCGCATGTTTTTCGCCAAATTGACGCACGATATGTCAGATATGCTGGTGTTCAGAAATGATGAGAAAAACGATTCTTCCTGGACAACCGTTTTTCCAGCTAGGTGTGTTTACTGGGCGGAAATGGGGAAATAAGCAACAGAAAAGGCTGGGTGATATCCAAGTTATTCTAATTTGGGCAACCACTGTATAGGAATAAGGTCCATACTCCATGGGGGATAAGCAAGTTATCTCTGTGAATCTCCTGCTCTTGAGAACCCTTTAGGTCTTCAAAAGGCAGGGCTCCCTAAGGCATTCTCTTGCATGATGGTTCCACTTATGACCACTCATTCTTGCAGATCTCATGGTGCTTCACCCCAGCCACAGAAATCAGCTCTGTGAAAATAGGAATTTACTTCACGAAACGTCACGAAACAACATCGCTGTTTAAAGAAATTATGACATATGATGACTAATGTGGGTAAAACAATAATAAACCATCCCCCAAATCACCAGGTGATATAAACCATTCCCAAATGGGTGGTTTATTATTGCTTTAACCACATTATATATTATATAGCATTTCTCCTTATCGGTCACCCAACCCACCAAGAACTACTACTTCTGCCCAGCTGAGCTGTGGCAAAAATGACTCCATAAGTCGGGAGGGTTCTCCTTGAGTCTCAGGTGGTTTATTCCCGAGGCCGTAAGCCATAAACCAACCCCATCGACCCATAATTTTACCACTTTGGAATCGATTTAGGGTTGTAAAGCAAGCAAACACAACATACTCCACAATTGTCCATTGGGCTGTAAGCATTATCCCCATATCTTGTTTGTAAAAGTACCACTAGCGTTTTACCCCAGTAACGTGCTAAACCCAATAGTAAACCCTCCCAATTATTGAGCATTGAGGTGCATTCAATTGGTCCAATTGGGGATTTCCACATTTTTCTGGGCAGATTTCCATGCCCTCCCAGGTCAGAAAAGGTCGTCGACCCTTCATTGATGTGCTGACACAGTTGACACATGTGGCGCTCGCAATATTCGCAAATTACATACTTCAGGTAGTTGCAACTAGCAATCACTACTATCATATATTTGCCATGGATCAACTTGCATGTATCATTGGGGATTCCTTCATTCATGGATCTATACATATATATATATATATATATCCATAGTACTTTATATTTGTCCAGGCGCCTCTGAAGTGCACCACCGTTGGATTAATCAGTTGTCATTGCTGACTACAACGGCCGCAGCCGGGCTTTGGGAATTTCAATGTACCAGGAGGGAAAAAAAAAGTAGAAAAAAAATATGTGCAGTATATATAGAGTAGAGTTATAATGAGATATATAGGTATATATTTCAAAAAAAAACATCCCAAAACCATATAACTCATATATCTTTAAACAATGCCCAAAGCCCGCTATTTTTGGGTTTAAAACCATATAACCATATAACTAATATATAGTTATTAAGCCCCTAAGTAATGGCGTAATCTATGCCTTCGGGCCGGCCTTCGGGCATGTGCCGCGGCGCGCTGGATCAAGTCCTCATCCTTCAGCGCGGACGTGGGTCCACCTGGCGCCATGTCCTACGGGTCCTACGGGTACTTTGTCCATGATCATGCTATAGCTAGATATTACATATATGTATAGATACATATGGTATGTATCATATATGTGTATATATAGTATGATATATATATACATATACATATATAAATATGATATGTATGTATATATAATACGATATAAATAATATGATATGCCCGCCAGGAATTTAACATAGACCCTGTCATGACTTGGGGATTCAAAGATTAGTTTCCAGTAAAAACAAATGCAATGTTTCGGAACTGAGGTCACATTATGAATATGATGCCATAATATGTATATATATATATATAATATGCACATCCATGTTGGTACATTGTACGATATTATAATCAATATAATATGTTTGTTGTATATATATATATATATACATATCCATATATAGTAGTAGTATATCATATCTATTGTTCAGTTCATATTAATGTACTTGAAAAATGTGACGATCAATATCAAACAATGCGAACCACATGACAAAACAACATAGATTCACAGGACCAGTCATGGTAGATGGTCAACCGTAGAAGATGTAAGCGGAGGTTCACAAAAAAAACAGCTGGTGAACACTGTTTACCCCCAGATAGGATTTTCAAGTCTTGGCACTTGGCACCCAAACATACCGAACACGTCCAATCAACATCTATGCAAAAAGGGGCCTTTGGTCCCAGCTACATATTTTACGGTGAAGTGTTAGTCACTAACTGTTAGTCAGTCGACAAGACTTTAGTAACTAATCACAACTTACAGCTTGCAGCACGGCCTTGTTGTCGATTTGTCATATGTGTTCATGGAGAAAAGGGGATGGAACGGGATTCACTTAATGATAAACCGTCCCCAATATTACCATTGCCATATATAAATGGGTCTTAAAAACCATACCCAATTGGCCCAATTGGTAGGTTTATGGCATTGGGTTTACCACATTACCAGAAATAATGATGTGACCCAAATTGATGGAAATCTACTGCTCCAAGGGAGGGGTTGCCATCTATCTTGGAACATGGAACACTAAAATCCAATGTTTCGTAAAATCAAGCACCAACTTTAGTCGAAGTGTGTAGCTGCACCCTAACAAAGACACAATGGGGTGCACTTTCTCAACAGCTTGGAGATTCATCGCGGTCAACAACCGAAAAGAACGTGACGTTTCCCCTAAGATTTTCGTCGTTCGTGGGAAACGAGTACTTGGAAGGCCCTAAATAAATGTATATGTATATAATGATATATACATGGAATCTAGGCTGGTTCTTAAGAGATGGTCATGAAATCAGATATGAATGATTTCCAGGATCTATTGGTTCTAATGAAGTTCAGCTACTTTTCTATATACTTTTCTCCCATTTGCCAAGATCTCCCAAGAAACACCAAAACAATATATATATACTCTACTAACCCCCAAGACGATAGAAACGTAATGAAGAGTAAAATCCAATCCCAAAATTCTGATTACTTGAGAAATCACGTATATAAATCTATCTTTTTTGAGGGTTCCCAAATCATTCCCCATCCTGACCCCTCGGCCCGACACAGCAGAGCGAATCGCACAGTGGCGCTGGTCGACACGAAGTGTGCTGCAGATTTCGGCTCCATCACCACCACAGAGCGTGGCGATCGCATGTCGCGAACACCTGGAACAAAAACCATGGGCCGTTCGTCAACCAACGCCGGTTTGTTGCCGATCGTTTTCGGCTACTTTGGACACAAAACAAACTGGGTTTTCTAGGAATTGGTGGAAGGGAAAATCTTAAACGGAAACCATGGTTTTTGCCCCTATGTTCTTGTATCCCGTAACATATCCCAGTGCATGATTGATTTAACGACTTTCGTATACCATTCTATCCCAGCATACTCATTATATATTCAAGCATATTATGTATATATGTATAAATTTATATATCCCATAGAAACCCATGACAACTTCATACCCATTTGTGCAAATATACTTTATGTATATACTCAAGAGTATACATATACATATACAATGTACAATATACAATAGACATATACATATATCATATAAACATATAAACACATATATATATATATATATATTTATACACGTAATACACTTAATACAAAAATATACACCATTACATTTATATAGATACACTTAATTATACATATATGTAATCATATAATCACATTTATAATCATACATATTATATATAATTATCATACATATTATATATAATCACATATGTATATATATATATATATCGCATTCCAAAAAAATCATCTCAATATCTTCATCGTCTGAGTCAAGGCACCCAAGGCGCGGCTCATTTGCAGCCCTTCCTTCAGCAGGGCTTCGGTCCGTGGCAAGGACTCCAACGTGCATGGCCGTGCCATGGTCCTGACCGCCTCGTCACCTGAAGGTCTCGTTGAGAGAACAACGGCTTCTGCGAAGCAACTGGGGGGGTACACCTGGATATTAAAAAAGTTACTGGTACAAAAAATCAAAAAAACAACGTTACTTGGAGATTATATGTTTTTTTTTATGTGTGAAAAATACCAGCTTATATCATCATGATTGATGGTTTATAGATAATTCATGATAGTTCTGATTTGATGTTAAAACTGGGGGTACAGCTGGTACAAAAAGTCACAAAGACGTTACTTAGAGATTATCTGTTTTTTAAAATGTGTGAAAAATACCAGCTTGTATCATTATGATTGGTGGTTTATTATGATTTATTGATAATTCATGATAGTTCTGATTTGATGTTCCAACTGGCGGTACAGCTGGTACAAAAAGTCAAAAAACGTTACTTAGAGATTATAGGTGTTTTTTACTGTGAAAAAGACCAGTTTATATCATCATGATTGATGGTTTATAGATAATTCATGATAGTTCTGATTTGATGTTCCAACTGGGGGTACAGCTGGTACAAAAAGTCAAAAAAAACGTTACTTAGAGATTATGTGTTTTTTATGTGTGAAAAAATACCAGCTTATATCATCATGATTGATGGTTTATAGATAATTCATGATAGTTCTGATTTGATGTTAAAACTGGGGGTACAGCTGGTACAAAAAGTCACAAAGACGTTACTTAGAGATTATATTTTTTTGATGTGAAAAATACCAGCTTGTATCATTATGATTGATGGTTTATTATGATTTATTGATAATTCATGATAGTTCTGATTTGATGTTCCAACTGGGGTTACAGCTGGTACAAAAAATCAAAAAAACAACGTTACTTAGAGATTATATGTATTTTTTTAATGTGTGAAAAATACCAGCTTATATCATCATGATTGATGGTTTATAGATAATTTTTTGGTAGTTCTGATTTGATGTTAAAACTGGGGGTACAGCTGGTACAAAAAGTCACAAAGACGTTACTTAGAGGTTATATGTTTTTTAAATGTGTGAAAAATACGAGCTTATATCATCCTGATTGATGGTTTATTGATAATTCATGATAGTTCTGATTTGATGTTCCAACTGGGGGTACAGCTGGTACAAAAAGTCAAAAAACGTTACTTAGAGATTATAGGTGTTTTTTACTGTGAAAAAGACCAGTTTATATCATCATGATTGATGGTTTATAGATAATTCATGATAGTTCTGATTTGATGTTCCAACTGGGGGTACGCCTGGTACAAAAAGTCAAAACACAACACTTAGAGATTATATGTATTTTTTTAATGTGTGCGAAACATACCAGTTTATATCATCATGATTGATGGTTTATAGATAATTCATGATAGTTCTGATTTGATGTTAAAACTGGGGGTACAGCTGGTACAAAAAGTCACAAAGACGTTACTTAGAGATTATATTTTTTTGATGTGTGAAAAATACCAGCTTATATCATTATGATTGATGGTTTATTATGATTTATTGATAATTCATGATAGTTCTGATTTGATGTTCCAACTGGGGGTACAGCTGGTACAAAAAAGTCACAAAACGACACTTAGAGATTAATTATATGTTTTTTATTTGTGAAAAAGACCAGCTTATATCATCATGATTGATGGTTTTATTGATAATTCATGATAGTTCTGATTTGATGTTCCAACTGGGGGTACAGCTGGTACAAAAAGTCAAAAAACGTTACTTAAAGATTATAGGTGTTTTTTACTGTGAAAAAGACCAGTTTATATCATCATGATTGATGGTTTATAGATAATTCATGATAGTTCTGATTTGATGTTCCAACTGGGGGTACGCCTGGTACAAAAAGTCAAAACACGACACTTAGAGATTTTATGTTTTTTAAAATGTGCGAAAAATACCAGTTTATATCATCATGATTGATTTTTTTATAGATAATTCATGATAGTTCTGATTTGATGTTAAAACTGGGGGTACAGCTGGTACAAAAAGTCAAAAAAACGTTACTTAGAGATTATGTGTTTTTTATGTGTGAAAAAATACCAGCTTATATCATCATGATTGATGGTTTATAGATAATTCATGATAGTTCTGATTTGATGTTCCAACTGGGGGTACAGCTGGTACAAAAAGTCAAAAGACGACACTTAGAGATTATATTTTTTTAATGTGTGAAAAACACCAGTTTATATCATTATGGTTGATGGTTTATTGATAATTCATGATAGTTCTGATTTGATCATCCTAATGCTAAAGGGCGAATTTCTTGAGTCCTAGGGTCTCAGGGTGTCAGCCCTCATGCGGTCTCCAGCCATCTCCAGCCCAGGTGCAGATCGTTTCGGCTTGCCGAAAATCAGGAACAAAGGCCTGGCCGGAAGGCCCTGGGTCCATGGGATGCTGAGAAGAATGTATCATCTATGCCTTCTATGCCTATGAAACCTATGGTTTGGATGTTCTATGCGTACTAGTGTTTAAGAAAAAAAGGCCCAAAGACACCTGAAGAATACTTGTAAACAGGGTATGATGGGTATGTGTATTTCTGCCCAAAGGTAATGGCTGAGTTTTGCACCCTAACTGGCCCATCAAGCGCCGTTAGCAAAGCAAACAACTACAGATTGGAGTTGGCATTGAAGTATCCCTTTTGTTTCCTTTGTGACGGAGTTGGTCTGCCATGGTACTTGCGATTCCTAAAATGGTCCCTGAAGAAAGCAAATGTGTATATATATATATATTTTATTTATATATATATATGTGTGTGTGTGTGTGTTAGCAATCTCGAAAACCCTAGGTTCACGGAATGGACATCCACAAATTTGGAAAGGTCCCATCGCTTACCGCGCATTTGCACAAAAATTATATATGGCAAACTTGGGGGGTGCCGCTTGCAGGAAAAATTACTGATCTACTTGGCTCCAGAGCGGATGCTGTGCTTCCTTTTTGATCAGGCATCTTCGCTGCAGGACTCTGAGCTATCTGAGGAGGTGCTACTGGAAGAGGTGCTTTGCAAATCTCTTTTTCCCCACCGCCAGCATGGACAGCCAGCTTGCTGGCCAGAACCTCTACACAGCCACTCTACAGCGAGCTCTCCAGCCCTCCGGGCGTACAAACCCGAATGCTATGGCAAGCTTTCCGGGCCCCTACAGGCCCCAACCTTTGCCAGAAAGAATGTCATATAGAATGCCAGTATATCTATATCTATCTATCTCTGTCTGTCTCGCTAGCTAACTTCTATCTATTTATCGAGCTAGCTGGCTGGCTAGCTGGCTACCTATCTATCTAGCTATCTCTATCTAGCTTGCCACCAGAAAACCTGAATGCGTCACAGACTGATGTGCGCCTGGGTGTCTGGAACAGATCTGGCATCAGTTGATACCGTAGTACTTTGCCAGAAAGCAGCTTCATGAAACAACAGAGAGTCAGCAAAGAGGCAATCAAAACAGTGCAAGTTCACATGGGGGGATCACTGGAAACACTCGTCAGCAACGACAATAATTTGTCAGTGTCAACAAAGAAGCTTCACTAAACAACAGCAGTGGGGAGATAAAGTCAGCGGAGAGGCAATCGAAATGGCGTAAGTTCAAGTGCAAAGTCAATCAATGAAAACATGCAAGGCAAGGATGTGCAGGCAGCTAGTGAGACAGACGTGTTTACAGGGACTTGGCTTCCGCTTCTGCGGATTCCCTTCTCTGCGGACCACTCCATGGAAATCAAGAAGAACACCTTCTGAGGAGCACATACCCTTTTGGGCCCAAATCTGGTTCAGAAACGACGTCAGAAATCAATGTTCAAAGTGACATTACCTTGAAAGGGTGCATCGCTAATTTGGAAAGGTCCCATCGCTTCACGTGTAATGGACGGAATTCCATAAATTTCCACAAACCAATGTCCGTCCATTAAATGTTTAGTATGGCCGCGTTTTGCGGTGGCTCATGTGTATATATGTATATTGTGTCTGTATAGACATGTATACATATCTAAATACTATAAATATATATATACATATATATATATACATACCTACATACCTACATACCTACATACCCACATACATACATACATACATACATACATACATACATACATACATACATACATACATACATACATACATACATACATACATACATACATACATACATACATACATACATACATACACAAATACACACATACACACATACATACTTATATTATATTATATTACATTACATTACATTACATTACATACATACATTCTTACATGCATACATGCATACATACATACATACATGCCTGTATGCCTGTATGTTTGTATGTCTGTATGTCTGTAAGTCTGTATGCCTGTATGCCTGTATGCCTGTATGCCTCTATGTCTGTATGTCTGTATGTATGTATGTCTGTATGTCTGTTTGTATGCATGCATGTACGCATGCATGCATGCATGTATGAATGTATGTATGTAGGTATTTATGTATATGTACATGTATTTGTATATGTACATGTATGTGTATATATATATATATACATAAATATATATATACAGCAGTTTCAAGGGGCTACGTGTGTGCCCATGTGGCATGTGTTTCTAGAAGTAACAAACATTGATGTCTACTCAGGCGTGTTCATATCTACATAATACATACATCCACATATACTACAATTATAGTCAATTATGTAATATATAATGTTGGATGGACAATAGTAAAGCGCGTGCAATAGCTACATTTTCAGAATCTGATTTTTCAGCCCCTATTGATTTTAAATTAGGCCTTATTGATTTTAAATGACAGACATCAATCTTGGTCCAGAGCATCTGCAATAGTTGTGCTGCATTCGCAATAGCTACAAATTATTTTCAGAAAATTCCCAACTTATCAGATTGTCCAATACTAAATTGTAAAATGGCTAATTGAGATTTAGTATGGACGCAGGGAAAAAAACTCAGAACCAGTAATTAATGACCTGCCATGAGCAGATGCACTGTTTCTTTTAGACCCCAGAGGTGTCAGCATGGAATGTGTCGCAGAAGCAAAAACAAAAACAAAGCAAACCTTTACCAAATCCAAAACTTTACCTTGTTCAAAAAAACTGCGTTCTTTATTAAAATCCTTTGAAAAAATTGCAAAAAACAGGGCCACAAAGGGTACCCCCTTGCAGGTCCTTGCATTTGCAATTAAAAATTGGAATTAGCACTTGCAATAATAAACAACCTTTCTGGCTCTAGCTGTATTTTTTTCCCTTCTTCCTTTGTGTTTTAAATTGTGGTTGAATGGTTTTTAATTGTGATTGCATGCTTTTCAAAAGCAAAAACAAAGAAAACCTTTACCAAATCCAAAACTTTACCTTGTTCAGTCAACGAGAATCCCATCAAAGCCTATCAGAAAACAGAGGTTCTCAATCAGAATCCAATGAAGATCCCATCAGAGCCTATCAGAAAAGAGAGGATTTGTCGAAACCTTACAGAAGTCTTGGGGAAGAGTTGGGATTTTCGATTTACTATTGCAAAGCAGACCTCCCCTTTAAAAGAGAGCGTAACGCTGTGGGCCCCTGATTTTTACGGTGTTTTATGAGGTTTTTATTGTTAGATAACATATGTATGCAACAATAATGAAACTTGTATACCATAATCTTAGTTTCATCTCTTCTACTTAGATGTGCATCCTACTGAGTAAGTTGTTAACTTATATATATATATATAACCTATACAAGCTCAGATATGTGAATAAAGTTCATATAACTGGAAATGCAATCTCCTTGCTAAGTGAGATCCAACCCCAAGTATGCAACTATTGGCAACACTAGCTATCCTTCAACATAAATTAAACCAACCACCACATATGTGCAGCCATCAGCAACTTGAGATGCCTGTAGTTGTGGTAACCTGAGCGCATCAGCAAGTAACATGACGGTGCAAAGCATCAAACTTTCTCTCACGCTTGAAACTGCGTACACATTAGGCCGCGGATTTCCAGCCGCGCTTTTTTGTCCAGGACACAGTTGTCTCAAGAGCAGCAACTTCTCGACAACACACAGTTGGACGTTGCCACGACAACAATTGTGTCTCAGGCATGAAAAGATTTGGAAAAAGAGCCATGGAGGAATTCTGATTGAGCTATGCATAGATCTCCTAGACCCACATGGAAATCTATGAAACTTCAATCTCACGCTCCACCTTGTCGACCTGCATCCACCATCCTTCGAGGTGATCGCGATCGCGACCTTTCTAGTCGTCTAATGTCACCATACAGAATTGCTCGGCCGTCAGGACGTGTCGGGTTGGTCGGACCCGTTGGACTCGACAGCAATTGTCGTTCATGGATGACTGACTTTGGCAACCGGTCATCGTCGCGGCCCAGCACCTGCCACAATTAGAGATGTCTGAAGTCGCAATAGTCAATAGCACGGCCGTCAGGCCTGGACAAGTTCGTCAAACCCGTGCTAGCCGACAGCAATTTTCGTTCGCGGATCACCTCAACAGGCAACGGGTGACCACGAGTCATGCCCAGCATCTGCCACAATTCAAGATGTCTGAAGTCGCCATAGTCAATAGCACGGCCGTCAGGCCTTCGTCAAACCCGTGCTAGCCGACAGCAATTTTCGTTCGCGGATCACCTCAACAGGCAACGGGTGACCACGAGTCATGCCCAGCACCTGCCACAATTCAAGATGTCTGAAGTCGCCATAGTCAAGAGGCCTGGACGGGTTCGTCAAACCCGTGCTAGCCGACAGCAATTTTCGTTCGCGGATCACCTCAACAGGCAATGGGTGACCACGAGTCATGCCCAGCACCTGCCACAATTCAAGATGTCTGAAGTCGCCATAGTCAATAGCACGGCCGTCAGGCCTGGACGGGTTCGTCAAACCCGTGCTAGCCGACAGCAATTTTCGTTCGCAGATCACCTCAACAGGCAATGGGTGACCACGAGTCATGTATATTCAGACCACCTAACTATGGCCGCCAGGCGACGCAGGTTCGCTAAAGCTCTCAATCCAAAACTGCAGCGAATGAAGGGGTACGAGATTCATTCTGGACATGAGATTCATGCGCACCGAGAAATTCCGATTGAATTATGATCATTCTCTGCGTTCTATAAAGAGAGCCTCTAACACCATTCATCCAATTGTTTTTTTTTGTCTCTTTTTTTGGTCATTGTTGGCAGATTGTCAGAGTAATTCCATTTTGACAGACATCTTTTTTTCAATGTGGGAATATTATATATATATAGTATTATTGTGACTATGCTGTTCTATATCCAAAAGAACGATGCATTTATCACCATTGGTCAGAGAACCCCATGGTATATGATGAATGTTTCCTTTGCGCAATGGCAATGTTTCCTTTTTCTCCTCCCCTCGGACACGGCCTCGCAAGTCTATCTTGCTATTGTACGAATCTACTGTACTCGGACTGATACGCAACTTGTCTAGGTGTCATTCAGTCCCATGCAATGCGCTGCCTCTTCGTCAGCCTCTAAATCTACACCCTCATTACGTCAAGTTGCCGTGCTGAAAGACATCCTCCTCATCATCCTCGTTCTCATTGTCCATGATTTCTTCAAGAGCCTGCTCGAGCGGCACAGAAGCATCAGAAGCTGCATCATGAGCAGAATCATCTTCCAGATCAATGACCGTGTTTGTGGCACGAAGTTTGCAACTCCATACCTTTGCCTCCTTGAAGACGCGGCTTTGTTCCTCTTCCACTTTCTCTCGCTTGATGGCAATGCGCTGAGAATGTGCAGTGGTTGCCTGAGACAAACATGATGATGACTGGCGCTCAGATTCGAAGAGACCCCGGACATTTTGACGATGTGCCCAATCAGGCTGGCGTGATTGTGCTATGTTTTTGTACATCAGCCGCAGCCATGTTTGTTCCTTTTCCACCTCAATCTCAAAGTCCGCAGGCATGCCTTTCTTGTTGTCTCTGAATTGGCCATACCACTTCTTCCCTTCGTCTGTGAGGTAGTCCGCATTGACCATGGATTTGCGAGGCACGTGTTCCTCATTGATGCCAGCCTTGCGATAGTACACAAAGTTCTTGGTGTTGACAAGGAATGTGGCGCGCTTCAGGATGGCATCAACGTCAGCTTTGGAGGCTTCTTTGCAGAGACACGGCCGAACCATCTCCCAGAAAGTCGAAAACTTGATGTGTTCCAAGAAACTTTCTCCTTCCTCGATATCAGCTTCATAGGTGTTTGAAGCCATAGCTCTGGGCTGGTTTTGGACCCATTTGACTGCACCCCACCTAGCCCAGGACATGCTCTCATGCAAGCCAACATCTAGCAAGGACTTGAGAGCCTTCATGCCCAGTGCTTGCGTGCAAGGATCATCCAAGAAGTCACCCATGATGACTGTGCCAGGCTCCCCTCGCAAGAAATCAATTTCCGGAGTGCATCGGATAGATGGCTTGCCATCATGGTTGAAACGCTCCTTGTTGAAGCGACATTGTGCCATGAGGACGCTCCTGCCCAAAGGGCTTTTCCCCGCACCAGGTTCGCCCAGCATCACAAAGGCAGCCAAGTCAAAACTCCAAATCTCTTCCAAGATTGCAAGGATCCACGGATGATAGAACTTGGCGGTCAGCGGCAAAGGCCACTCGAACTCCTTGCGTGCCCGAGCGCCTTCAGAGGTGAGGAGTCGCAGTGCATTTTGTAAAAGACCCTGGGGCCAGCCAAAGATCGGAGATGAGGATTTCCTGAGTTCTTTGGTTTGCCAACGAAGCTGTTGAAGATCGCTGGCGCTTCTGGGGGCTTTCTGGGTCAAGAAGTCGAAGCCTCGGTCGAGATCTTCATCTTCTAGTTCATCAAATGCCCTGGCTTTTTTGCCATTACATACCTCAGCACTGAGATCAAGGCATCGGAACTGCCTGCCGCCCATGGGACAGACAAGTTCGGCAAAAAGCAAGGGCTCACAACGTTACTTTCTCTTTAAAAAAATGGGGGGACCCCCTTTACTATTGTCGATGCAACATTATATGATATAGTATCACATAATACCACATATAATATCATACTCATATCATTTAATCGAGTTCCAAAAGCCACATAACCATCTCTTCCGCACCTGGAGCTTCGAAAATTTCTTTTTCAACTCCTTGGCCGCTTTCAGTGCGTCCTTTTCCTAAGCCGAGCCGGACAGGGCCATGGAGATGTGATGCTGTAAGTCGTATGTAGTAGATAGTATGTAACAAAGTGCGTATGTTATATAATGTTGTATATATATTAATATATATATATATTCATCTATATATTTATTTACGTTGATGTATCTTCATATTGATTTGTTAAATTTGGAATAAATTTGGATCAAATTCTGCTGTTATATCACCATCTACATGTCCCCCTAAAGCCATTTATCATTAATCATCACTATCTACTTATCTACAGTTCTATTATACTCATCACATTTCCTGATCATCGGTAGACTATAATAGATGGTCAAGATTCACCCTTATAATTGTGGTTGTTGGTGGTGAATCCATCCCACTTTAACAGGAGCAGTCTACCTACATTGGTCCACCTGCCTGACTTTATTACAAGATCGAAACATGGTTGAAAAGAAACTTGAATACTTCACTCATGTTGGGGGATCTTTAACTCCTTTCATCAATGCTCCAGTACATGACAAGAGTTATTGTTCCTAATCACAATTTGTGGGTCCTCAGGAAGGCCAGTCCAATCTGGTTGGTGGTTTCAACCCCTCTGAAAAATATGAAAGTCAATGGGAAGGATTATCCCATATATGAAATGGAAAATAAAACATGTTCCAACGCACCAACCAGTTATAGATTATCATAATTTCTATCTGATGATGATCATGATCACCATTAAAATTACCATTAATCACCATTAATCACCATTAAATTGCCATTAAATTATCATCAATTTGCCTATCTGAATGACCGTCCCGTTCCCGTCGTGAGTCGATCTCTTCCAAGATGGAATCCTCAGTGCCGAGGTGACGGCCATGGGGCTGCCATGGTTTTTTTTTTCGATCGTAGAATGTTCACCACTTCTCCCAATCGCTGTTGGTTAAACATCTGTGTATGTCTGAAAATGGGGTATACCCCCGAATATAGCCATTTAGTAGGGATAATGATCATTAACCATTGGGTGTAGGGGTACACTATTTTCAGACAAACCCATCCATGTTTCATCATTTTGCTTCGGTCTTAGGTTGAATTATTCACTTTTGTTGCCGACGTCCGTAAAATTCCTCATCGTTGGAGCCAGCACTCATTGTTTCTGGCAGGCTTCCGCCCATGGTGAGTCATCCTCTCTATCTGGTTCTAGTTGGCGGTTTCAAATTTACCCCCGCTGGAAAATACAGATATGGTTCTGAGTCACATATTGCGGATCATCACATGTGCAGGGATGGACTATTAAGATCTATTAAGAACACTTACTTGAAACCACAAACCACTACCGGGCATGATTTGGATACAGGTTCATGGTAAAAAGGCCTCCCGAACTCACAAATTGGCTAGCCGTTTTGGATCAAACCGTCTGTTTGTTTGTGAGACCTACAGTATTGTTTACTAACTGAGATGAATAGGTTAGATTTCCAATCATTTAAATATAATACCCCACTGGTTGCTGATCTTGCTGTGAATTCCCATTGTCGGGGAATAACCCCATCAACCATCAATGACAACCCTCTTTGGATTCTTGAAATGTTGATCCCGTGCTGAAAATCCAGTGGGAAACTTGCGCCTTTACCCATCTATGCTAATATGTTTGCTTATGTCAACCAAAAATATGAGGTAGATGCCTACAATTCATCAATTCATCCAGTAATCCAGGATATCATTGACAACCGGTTTAGTACTTGGACAGGTCCTTAAGGTCCACTACAAGTGTAATTGCCATCCTGCAATCCCACCATAAATATAAATCAACCAGGGGTTTATGAATCCTGAGCTGACAGCTGACACTATTAAATTATGAGATAATGATTAGGATTGGCACCCCCCCCCCCACTCCAAGGGTCTGAAGCTGGTGTCCAGTCTACACCCAACAGGGATGCGGCACCAGAACGGGTGTGCACCTGGAAGGATGGTCAGGCTTTCTCCATGCCATGTGTTTTTTCCCTTCCTCTTGCTTCTGTCCTTGCTTTCTGTTTTCTTTATTCCTTTCGTTCCCTCAAACCAACCTTCATTCAGTTCTTTTCCTTCCACTATTTTTGTTCCGGTCTTCCTTTGCTTTCCTTCTTTGCCTTCCATTCCTTCTTTCCTTCCTTGATGTCTTCATCTCTTTCAAGTGTTGCTTTGCACCTTCAATTTAGATGTCCCGCCTTTGATTCCTCATGATTCCTCTCACTTCGCCAAAACTATCACGTCATGGATAATGCGAAGGACAAACCATGCGGTGGAACACACAGCAATTCGTGGTCACCACAGGATGTTTCAATAGGTTGATGGCCAATCTCCATGAAACATAAGGTTTCACCCTGGCCTTTTCCAAGCCCATCTTCTGAATTCCAGACAAATCTTACCAGTACCATTCTGATTTCCTCCAATAAAGGGCTGTCATACAGCTGGTGCTGGAGAATTCTAGATCTGACTGATGTTTTTTTTCGATTTTCCAGGAAGTTCCAGGTCGCAAACCTATTGCTTAAAAAAACCACTTTCCCGACATCACCTTTATGGAAATATATGGAATCGAAGGATCTGTATCTTTCCTGGTCATGAAAAACCTTTAGTGTCGGGGGGATTATCTTTTGAGGTTTCTCTCACAGGGCCAAAAAGGTCGGTAAAGCTTAACTCCAGTCACCAGTCCCCAGATCGGTGGATTGACCATGGGATTGACATGGATTAACCATGGGATTAACCCATGGATTTTTGAGTTACCCTCTGGTAAACTAACATAGCTATTGAACATGGCCATTTATAGCTGATTTGCCCATTAAAAATGGTGATTTTCCATAGTTATGTTAGTTTACCAGAGGGTAAATGAGATATTTCTTCACCGGCTCCATTCGTTCTCCCTGGACGATTCCCTGCCTCCGCATGGAGTACACGGCGCATCTGCTTGCAGGCCTCTAAATCCTCGCTTCACCCGGAACAATGAATTATCAATGGTTACTGGTTCCTGATTTAGCAATAAATTAACGGAACAATAAATATAATAAATTATCAATAGAATTTATGATTATCATCCCTCACTGGTTCCTGTGGCTCATAAATTGATTATCATAGATCAAGCCAATGGGCTTGGATGAAACAGGGACTTGATATGACTTGATATTCGAGTCATGTTTACCCTTGGAGTTTTGTTTGCTTCATGTTATGTGACACACTTCATCAATGTGTCTGTATCCTGAAATCCGCCGCTCAAAGCCATGACCAGTTGATATTTCGTAATTCCGCAACGTTCACGATCAACGATCAACTGTTCCTGGGGAAGAAATCCAAGGAAATTGGATACATATGCCTTTCTAACATAGTTTATCCCCACTGGCAAAGCAAATTGGCAAATCTTAAATTTCGCTGCAAGAAATTAGGCGTGCCGCGTTCTTGGGGATTATGAGATGATGTTTATTGTGTCTTATCATCACGCCATACTATGAATGAATACTGGCGATTATGGCATTGAGTAAAACCACGAGGGCCTCCTCAATCATCGCTTCGAGTCGTTCTTTGGACCTCGGACTCCCTGCCACAGGGGAGATCTACTGTGTTTGGCAATCCCCAAACAAAATGCAGAAAAGGTTCAATTTACATCTACAATTTACATCTAATTCAGGGTTGGATTTTATCAACTTCCGTTTCTTGGGGGGTCCCTATACCCCCAAAAAAGTGGGATTCATACATCATTCAGACAAGGCGATCTCTATAGCAAAGATGGTCTCAGCACACGGTCGCGGTTCCCGTTGCTCGAAATCTTGATCCAGAACCATACAGTACAAGGGCATGGTGAATCAAATCCCCCTTGTTCAGCTGAATGTAACATCTTTACACATCTTGGAATTACATCTTTAATCTTTACACATCTTTGACATATCCGAGACGATGGTTGTGCCGCCCCTCATGGCTGCACCACCCCAGGCTGCCAATCTGAGGCCGCTGGCTCTTCTAAACGTGCGAAAGCGTACTGATATGCTTTCCTGAGTGGAAGATTCGTTCACTTAGTTTTGGATCAATATATATATATATATACATAACAATAACAATAATAATACTAAGTTATTAGACTAATAATAGTAATAGATCATCCATATCTTTGAGGTGACTGACCATGATTGGCTCACGATTTTGCTGGTCATGTTTTGTTGCTCATTGGTAGGACTTAAGAAATCTCCAGAATCTGAAGACAATTGGTGCTTCTCCCAATCCTAAGCATCATTTCTCCCCAGGGTCTGCCAGGGTTTGGTTCCCCAAAAACCACAATGGATCCCCGATAATTGTCATCAATAGTGCATTTAGATGACTATTATGATTTATAATGACTATTAGTCATTTCCAACCCAACATGATTTATAATTGGGATTAGTTGGGCACGTTGACTCTGGCAGCCAGTGGATCCCAAATTGATCCCTGCCCCCCTAGTGGAAACAACACCACTAAAACCACAAATGGAATGTACCGGATTTATTCATTTTTAGGGGGGTCCAAATGTTGGCTGTATTTAATGGATATGGATATGATCGTAGCCTCATGAAAACTACCATAGACATGGACACAATCTACTGAAACAGTGGAGAAAATCCACGAAAAAATAAAAGGTGACCCAACCATGATAGACCCACCCCCATTATACTGGCTGACTAGATACAGTATCCCGTAAATTCTAGCTCATCTCCAACAACCAGGTAGGTTACTAACCATAACCCCTTATGACTCCCTCTTTCATATCATAACCAATCAACTCCCCTCTTGAATTCGTGTGACTGAAACTAGAGTACCCCAAAAATTAATCCATTAAAACCATTTAAAACCTCATTTTTCCATATGTTTCCTATGAAAGGGCCATCAATTGGTGCAGTTTTCAGGTCGCCAGTGGTCGCCAGATTGCTGTAGTCACCTTGGGTCCCAGTCGCAACTCCACCGAGTCCTTGTCTTTCTGCTTGTCAGGATGCACCTTCAGCGCCAGCTTTCGATACGCCCCACGCACCTGGCAGTGATGTTCGAGTCATGGCAGAAAAGGGGTGTGTACATATATATATATATATAGAGAGAGAGAGCACTTGTATTATTGTCTATATGGATATGTTCATATATAGCGCTTTTGTTTATATTCAGTAGTATTATTAATAATATTATTATTAATACGTATATATACCATTATGTAGAGAGGGAGAGAATATGGCAAATGATGAATCCTCAATCCCATCATTGAAGGTGAGCTGAGTGAGGTCAAGTCATGCTTAGCATATACAGATAGTACACTTCAAATCAAAGGAATGGTAAAATATAGTTCACACACGTATTGCATATAGTTGAGCATATAGTTATTATTATGGTAAAATCACTGAAATACACCGAGTCTGAACAGTTGAATCAAAGGAATTTGACGCGGCTTGCTTTGGAGTTCTGTGGTGCGTTCGTTGAAATCTCATCGATGTTATGCAGTGATTTTCAAGGCAACTAAATAAGCTGTTTGGCTCCACAGTAGGGATATAGGAAGCAGGAAGGGATTTCAAGCGTCCCAAGCGCTTGGGGGTGTCCACCATCATTTCTTTGGTTTGACACAACATTTCAGCATATTGACCCACATAGTCTCTCCGAAGAAAGATGAAAGACACAGCAGTTTTCCATGGATTTTCCATGGATTTTCCATACTTGTCCAATGAAATTTCCCAGAAAAAATCCAATGATCAAGTGGACGCCTGCTTCACATCCAGCTCATCATCTGGTGCCAGGAGCACATCAAACCTGGAGCCCATGGCTTGTGGTTGGGATTGAAGCAACAAAAATTGGGCTATAATCGGTCTAACCCAACAAAACGGGGACAGAATGGAATGTCACCATACTGTATATTCGTAGCTCTTTGGTTTGACTCACCATTGTGGAGTGTGGATACCCATAGCTCCTTTGCTCCTTTCCAACCAGCACTTTCAGATCGTTCACAAGAGAAAGTGGGGATCTAAATAGTGCGTTAGGATGATTGGCACGGGAGTCTTAATAATCCATAATGAGCCATGTGCACATACATGTGCCATAATAATCCATAATGATCCATAATGATCCATTAATGATCTTATTAATGATCCATACATACATGTCTACATCATTCTATCCAGATAAGAGTTCTGTATATGTGCACATATAGTAGACTGTACCACCACTGCATACAGTAGCGACTTGACAAATCCCTGGACTTCAAGTCGTTGAAGTGGTCTGATGAAACGACCGCAAAAGAAGTCCAGAAAAACTCAGCACACAAAATTCCAAAAACTCCACCATCGATGATTTCCCCATCATTCCCCATCCATTTATGATATTTATGGGAGATTTCGCTTGCGCCATGTTTGATGACCACGGTAGTACTACTACGACAAAAATCGCCACATCGGAACCGAAGGATTCCACCAATTTTTTTCATCCAGAGCCACACGCTGGGTGCGCAAAGGATGCGCTTGGCATCGTCCAGTTTCTCAGCTTGCTGATGATGCAACAAACCATCCACAACCTCGGTGATCTGAATATATCTGAATGGCTGGGAAACCTTTGAGGTGTCCAGAACCAAACAGTTAAACATCCCACGTCGGAGGTCGGTATCAAGGAATCCATGTATGCCGTACATGTTGAAGAAACATGTATGCATCTATATATATATATGATATATGTATATCTATCTATAGTCTATATCTAGAGTCTATATCAGTCTATATCTATATGTATACAAATTACATCATATTACAAGTGTAGATATGGTTGGACGCAGCCAAGTGACCATCCCACCTGCCTGCCAGAATCCTTGCGATCCAAGGCATCAACAACTGGGACAACTGGGACCCGTATGGGACCCCGTATGGGACCCATATCCAAATGGTGAATAAATATCCAAACCCCAGAGATAATCATACATGTGTAAATATAATGGAACTATAGGGAACTATACTGGATATATCATATCCAAATATAGGACCAAACCCCAGAGATATCATATATGTGTAAACCTGCAAAGAGGCATGGGCTCTGTATATAAATTTCATCAAGCGTGAAGCATGTATATGTATTTTTATTGTTTCCATGTTGTCACAAGCAGCCTTTGCTGATACCACCAAGAACGAGAAAAGGAGTTCTTGAGAGTTTTGCTTGGGCAAGTCAAAGAACACAATGTACCATGTGACCAATGTGGACCTGCAGAGTTTTCCAGACCCTTTTTCAGGCAAAAGAAAATCCGACCTTTTTCAGGGAATTTCCGCCATTTCTCCGAGCAATTCTGCCATTGTGCTTTGGAGCCCAAAATTTATTGCCAGTGAATTGCCACCGATTATTCCAGAAAAAAACAACGTAATTTGCTGCAGTGGTCCACAAAAAAGACAAAACCCAGCAAACGTAACAGCGCATTTTGTTGTGAAAGGACGAAAATTGTGCATACTATGCGGCTTAGCAGGAAGATCAAAATGCGACTACTGACTATAAAATATATAAATAGCCGGTCGGCTCGAAAGCCATTCTAGTATTTTGCATGGTTTCGGGCCAGCCATTTGAAGATGAAGACGCATATTATGCATGTTCTGCGGGCGCTTACTTCTTATTATTGTCTTAAGATGAATAGCGTGGTTTGTCTCCAATTCCAACCAAATGAGCGTCTTGCCTTAGTGGAAATATTTTGTTTGGCTTTCGAGACCCTTAGAACTGCTTACAAATTTCCAAGATGTCAACATCCAAAAATGTGATCGCTGCTGAGGAAAAATACATATTACAGTAGATCCTGGGAGAATTCAAGGCAGAAATCAATATTCATGGATTTCACATCTTGCGAAACCATGCGAAACCTGCACGACGTGCATCTTGAACCGCAAGCTAGGCAAGTTGTTCCTGTTCTTCTTCTGCAGCTGCTACTTGGAGATAGGCTCACAGCTCAACAAACGAGGCATGTTTTGTGGAAAATCATCACAAGAGATGCTGCCACATTTGGATCAGCTGGTGCGCCGACAGTGATTGTTATTGTTATTTTGCTTGTGCAAGTACGTGTCAGGCACTGGTTTATAGATTTTATAGCTTGGTTAACTAGGGTTTCCAGTAGATATATATATCCTTTGCTAATGGGGTCCATGAAACCATAGAGATCCTCCTGTGATTTCTGGATATTGATACGACAAAAAATCAGAACACGACAAATCCAACAGCGGAAGCATGTAGTAAAAAATAACAATGGCAAAACGCTAGAACGCGTTTTTGGCTGCAGGCCTACATTAAATATATGTATATACATACTGCGTGTGTATGTGCGTATGTCTGTATGTCGGTATGTCGGTATGTCTGTACGTCTGTACGTCTGTATGAATGCATGCATGCAATACAAATATGCCATAATTGCATGCATTTTATACACATATGCCATACAATACAATACAATACAATACAATGCAATACAATACAATACAATACAGTATAACATCATAGAATGTGAAATAGCCTTAGCACGCTTAGCACAATATCTTCAATTAGCACTTTTGCATACTTTGTTCTGCTCATAGCATGTTTGCTTGGATTTATGCTCACCCCAGCTGTTGTTTATGCTCGCTTGAATTTTAAAAAAAGAAAAACGCGCACGTGTATCCTAACGGACTGATATTTACGCTTATTCCCCTGGTATTTACGCTCATTTCCCGGGAAAATATGCTCAAAATTGTGGCTTCAAAAGTTGCAAAAGTGCCAGGAGTGGTGCAATTACGCTCATTTGGAGAAAAACCGCTCAAAGGCATAAATCTCTCAAATGAGCATTCATTTGTGCTTTTTAGAGGATGCAGGTATATATATATATATAAATATATATAATATCTATATATATATATGTATACGTATCTGATATTTAATGATATATATATATATATATACATATGTATATGATACACGTGAATTTATCTATACATATTTATACTGTATGACAGAACCAACCAGGCGAAAAAAATGCAAAACATCTCCTCTGCACATCCCAGAGTCGCAGCTGCTCTTCTTCGTCCTCTAAGTGACCTTCGCAATCCAACAGTCGAGATGCGCTAGACGCCTGGCCGCCAATAGGGCTCGATGATCCCGACGCATTTTCCTACCCCGTAAGATGGCGCACCCCAATCGTAGAAATTGCATTTAAAATGGCATTTCAATGGCTAATGCGACCCCCAAAGAGTTGTTGAATCATGATTGCCAAGCCCTTTGATTGTGTGGAAAAAAATATTTACTATCCTCGGCAAGGTGAAATTGTTTCAGTTCTGCTCTGTATAGTACAACTATACTAATATGAATTGTTCGGAGTCATGCTTAGTGTAATTATATATATATATACACATACTATTCATATGAGATATTGCAGATTTTGGGGGCAGAATTATATAGAATTATCGTGTATATATAATATAATACAATATAATATAATATAAAATAATATGATATAATATATTATATTATGTTATATTATATTATATATATATATATTTGAATATGATTCATTATGATTCAATCCTTTATCAAGCCTGACAACCCCAAAATCCCAAAGATCTCCCATCAAGCAGGCCTTTCCCTCACCTTCCAGCAGCAGGACGCGACAGTCTCCCACTCCAGCGACTACCAGGCGATTTCCCAGCAGCAGCGCCAGCAGAGCGGAACAGCCACCTGCGATAGGGGGGGTTCCTGGGAGAATTTCCCAATTTGGGAGATACCCTCTGGTAAACTAACATAACTATGGAAAATCACCATTTTTAATGGGTAAATCCACTATTTCTATGGCCATTTTCAATAGCTATGTTAGTTTACCAGAGGGTAACTTGATGAAATCATGGAAGATATGGAACATGATCCATGTACCTCGATGATTTGCCTCTCAAAAAAAAATGGTGATGTTCCATGGCAAACTGTCAAATTACCAGTGCGTATAAATGGAAGATCTGCTGAAACCTTCTGCTGTTTCTTTCAAACTATTGGGGGTCACGTCGTTGATTTAAGACCACGACGAATGGTTTTGTCTCAAAAAAGTGGGATAACCAGTGGTAAGCCCTAAATCCATTGCTAATCACCACACTTTCCCTAGTGCTAATTTGAGTTGTCATTCGCCAATTCCTGCGCAAACGACAGAAATCCAGAGGGCATTGCTCCCATGCTGCTGGGACGCTGAAGGGAAAGGCGCTCTTCATGACTTCAGTGTCCAACTCAGAAAGCGTTGCCTGGGAAGGCCACTGGTGACCACCAGAGGCAGACCTCCAAATTGGGAGTTACCGCTATTGAAAAAAATTGCCATTTATAGTGAGTTTTCCCATCAAAAATTGTGATTTTCCATAGTTATGTTAGTTTACCAGAGGGTATCCAATCAAAACCCTAGATATCCCTAGATACGTTTAGAATAGATTCTAGATACTCTCCTTACGATTCTCAGATAATCCTCTTGGTTCCGATGGCTCGAAGTTCATCCACTCAAGCTTTTGGTATCATTTCCCTTGTTGGTTTCAACAGGTCACTACAGTTACAGGATCAAAGCCATTTCCACACAGAGGTTTCTATCTTTCCTCAACATCAGCCACTGTTTCACCGCCACTCCTTCACCACCATTTGAAGTTATTTGAAGTGATGCTCAACCTCAAAAAAGTGGAATCTCCAAGTTTATATTTTAATCATGACATTCCCTTTCAACCCGGAATAGGATGGCTTAATTTCCACATATTTCGGGGAACTACTGTATCCCATTCACCCCATGCGCAGTGCCTCCAAGATTTCTTGAAGCTCCTGGCATGGATCGATCCCACTATGATACCCCGAGCAAGCCCCCCCATTGGGCGGGGAGAATCATGGGGGGTGAAAAAAGGGGCATGAAATATGATGAAATATGATGAAATTAAATTGTACCCTCATAAAAAGTATAGAAAAACCATGAAAAAGTCTGTTACTGTAGACCTTGTCAGTTGCTAGGCAACGGCCTTAGCCCATGGCCCCTTGGCCCATCGTTGACGGTTTATCGTTTTTCGCATAGTGGAGTAACGTAGAGTAGACATTGTTGCTGGATCTACTGGGGTCATCGGAATTCAGGAATGATGGGTGGGAACATGTAGGAACTTAGGTTGACCCCTTGATGTACCCTCTGGTTCACTAAGTTCACTATTTCCGAACCTTAGGGGATGATGTAATGACACCAACGTCCCGGAGTGCCACACTATCTCTTGTTGGAGTTCAATAGAAGTGCGACCAGATCGTAAGACATCTTGAATCTGTCACAACCCTTTACAGAAGATCCCGGGGTCAACGCTCAGTCCGCAAAATCTTGCTGGTTCACTGCTACTTTGCGGGCGGCGGGGAGAGAAATTCTTTGTTTCTTTTGGTTTTTCTGTCCAGAAGGGTGGCATCATGTTTTCCAGCTGCTGGTCCGCTACTTTGTTTGAATATGTTTGAACCAAGCATAGATTGGCAAAATTTGCCCACCTTCGAAGGAAAATCCGGCAATTTAAGTTTCAGCTGGTCGGTTTTGGAAGGCTAAATCAATAAAGACTTCCCCCGCAGGCCCCTTCAGAAGCCCCTTCAGCCACACCTCCGTCTTGTAGACGTGGATCTTCTCAGCCAATCGCGGCAAGAGCTTTTTGTGAAAGTTCCTCAGGCCAAACATGGTCCGGGGGGGGGGTCTGAATGTCCAAACCCCCAGAGACTCAACATATTCAACATGGATAGATCGGGCCCCGTATCACGTCTCAACATGGAGACCTAAGGGTAGGGGGTCAACATGAGCCCTTGCTTTGTAGAGGTTCTGGTGTTTGATACCCTTCAATAAGGCCTTACATTCGGAGGGTCACCATTGAATTTTCATGAATTTTCATGAAACTGCCAGGTCCTGCAAGTTTCAGCGAGTGGCATGGCTACGGGACATTTCTGGCATTTTGGACCTACAGCGAATGAAATTGATATTCAAATTCTAGGAATGTCCTCTACCTGCGGGTAGCAAATCCAATATCCAAATCCTGACCAACTTGGGTATCAAGAATGGTGTTGGGTCCCCATGCCCGACAAAAAACCTCCTAAGGACTCGAAATTTGGCAACTTTTTTCAAAATGAGCCGGGTAATCTCGGGTACAGTATGGTAGCGTGAAGTTGATCATGCAGACCACAGTGGGGCGGGGGATTACAACAAATGCCAATGACTAGCTGGATAAAATGTCAATGTCAAGGATTAAAACCACTTGGGTTGTCATTAATTATATATCATTATATTACATTGATTGATCGGAACCGGAACCAGCAATCACTTTCCATATCGGTTGATACCATTCTTCATGAAACATCTCAAGTCACTCAAGTCCTTTTCAAGGATCTGCACAGTGGACGCAAATTCCCTGTCAGAAATCAGAAATGGGATGATACTCGTAGCCCAATCACTAGCCCAACAGTTGACTCCAATGAAATCCAGCCGATGTGCACTGTTTTCTGACTGCTTCCCCAAACAAAGCCCAAAATATGGTGGAAAAGCCGGCTGGAAATCATGAGGTAAACTATGGTAAACTGGTAAACATCATCTTTCATCTGGAAAGACGTTGCCATACGTTTCCGTCTCTTGGGAGATCCCTAGAAAAACTATCCTATACTTAATTGCTTAATAAACCAGCGATGAAAAAACTGATGTGGCCCTCTGTCAGTAGAACCCAGCTGGGGGGGCAATTTTTTTTGGACACACCATTTTGGAGCCACAAAATTGGACCTTCTTACTATTGAACCATCCCAAAATGGTGATCAATAGTTCTGTGCCATATCCAAATGGGTATGTATCCACACCCAATCAAGTGATATAATTCGGTATGATGAATCTTCAGCTATACTTGCCATTTTGGTCCTTTGGATGTGGCTCAAAATTATTGATCCCCATTTTGTGATTCTTGAAGAGTAACATACACGTACGTTTTGTGGGTCCATTCGTACCAGTGAGGCATAAGCTACAGTACTCAGTACTGTAAATCAGTCACCCTCATGTTTGCTCGTTTGTTGATGAAATCCCTCATTCATGCTCAAAAAAACATGATGATCCCATGGTGAAATCATCAATCCATATCAATCCCATTTCGGATCCCATTTCGGGCAAACTATCACATCCCCGTGATTTCATCTTCCAGGACTTTTCAAGTGAACCTCTCCCAATTAATGGACAACGATCCCCCGTTGATGGCTCTAACATGTGAAAAATCCCTTACTTGTTGGCCGTAAAATCTCCCATCTGTGCCAAAAGGGTTTGTCCGAAAATCAGGTACTGTACATATATTATAGATTGTCATTGTTGATTATCCATGTTCCCAATGTTTTGCAATTTTTCCCATGCAAATTAGCATTTTGGGGTATCCCAAATTTTCAGAAAGCGTCTCAGCACACCACTGCGCAGCTTCTGGGGTCCGCAAGCCCTGGAACAGCGCCTCAGCGCCATTCAAAACTTCTGATTGCTATTCTGGACAAATGGTCTTGTAACTGTACACAATATAACCACATATAATCATATATTATCAGTCTTTCAAGATGGAAATAGGGTGCTCAAGCCGCGATTGTTCACAAACTGGAGTGGCTCTTAGCACCCTCATACAACCTGAAGTTATCCATTCTAAATTCTAAAATAATAAAGCTGATTACCATTGCCAACCACGAAATATCGCAATCTTGTGCACAAATTGTTGGTTAGAAATTCTTTCTCGTCCCAGTTTTGTCGGTTCAGGTGGGGTTCAAGGGGCGGGCAAAGATACGCCTCTCCAAGAGGAAAGAACAACCTAGCGGACCTAGCGGTTTTTGTAATTGCACAAGTTTGCGAAATGTGGGAGATGGCCGGAGATGGGAGATGTAATCATTATAGCAGTCTTCAGGATGTCATAGGTCAACCTTTTGGTGCTGGCAGCTCCAAGCTCCTCCATTTTGCCCAGTGGCGAAGCCGGAAGCCGGGCGATCTACGAAGCTCAACGCCAACTTCAAGGAAAGACGTGCGATTTTGGTGACCTTAGGAGGTGCGGCGTGTTGGGAAAGTGCCTCCGAAAAGCGTGGTTCTTCGGAAGGTTCGTCTCAAAAGGCTCACAAAAAGATCAAAACGAGTAGACATCACAAGAAGAGGGATTGAATATCCAATATTGGAGTGTTTTTTTTCCGCCCACTTCCATCTACTCCCAGCACATCTTGACTTTGTGCCATGCGCAGGAGGGTTGCAACTTGGTGAAACATAGCACCATGATCCAGCTGTGGGTTCTCAGCAAATCAGCATGGCCAAAGTTCCTGTGCGTCTGCTAGATCTTGATCCATTGATCCATGGGATGGAAACCAAGGGCAAAACAGGGCTAAACCACAAGCGGATTCGAGCGGATTGCTCATTCTGCGGCCCCCGACATCGTTCAGAATGACGGCTCTGTCAAACTTTGTTCCCCTTCCTGACGGTGAAGGACCATTGGTTTTGGATAGTGGAGATCACAAAAAACAAAAAACAGGTCAAGAGTTTGTGTATCAAATTCTCACAAGGCGGAATCGAAATTAATGATTTACTAGGGAAAACGCCATCTCTATTCACTAAATGTCTACAATATAGGTAAGGACCATATATATCATCGAACTGAGTGGGCCATTTTCGATATGGTTCTTCACTCAAAATCTCACTTGCACCTCTTGAGACCTACTCGCGACACTTGAGGACTTTCTGAAACCTGTGGATTCATGTAGATTGATTCTACTGATAGATGTTCCTCTCCAAAGTAATCACAAGAATCAGAATGAATCATTAGAATTCATCAGACTTCCATCGAATTCCTTTAACATCCTTTAACCAAATGGTTCACCATGCAGTTTTCACAGTGCCCCATCGGAACATCCCGGCGCCGACAAGTGACGGACGCACGAGGCGCTTGCAGCACGAACCTTGATGTCGTAGTCCTCACCCCATTGACCAACTAAGGTACTTTTGGGTTTATTTCCAGGTACTTTTCCCATGGGTTTATTGATCAGTACCTGGAAATCACCTGGAGTTTACATGTTTTTTATCTCCAGGTACTTTTGACTAGTTCCTTCAATCGATGTTTGTCAGGGTTTATCTTTCCCACGGTCTAAATAAGGCTAGAAAGTGGTATTGCAAATCTATCTGATATCTATATACTGTATCTTGGTTTTGTTTTTTCTATTTTTTTTTACCTATCGATCTGATCCATCAAGCCAATCTGACAATACATCAATCAATTTAAGTTATCCAATCTCTAATCTACCTCATGGATGATCTATACATTTGATCTAATCTCTACAATCTATCCATCGCATCATGATGTGCAACAAAATATCAGCCATTGCCACTGGGGATCCAAAGTTGAACCAAGCCCAAACCCGAGCCTGTGGTGCATGAGGTGCCTCAATGTCCACCCACTGTCCGGTGCCACCAGCTCCCTGCCGGCAGTATTTGCCCGCCTGCCACGGAAACCGTGGATTCTGGTGCAAAAAAAAACCTGGTGCACCCAAACAAAGCAATAAAAAGTGGCAAGGATATGGCCAGGAAAGTCGATGATTTACTTCTTGAACTGTACAAACATCCCTTTTTACAGACTAAATTCTGGGTATCTGCAGCATAAAGAGCGAAACTGGAATATGAATCATTGGGCCCAATTACAACTCATAGGGGCCCCTCACTCTACCACGAAACATAGAAAACAAGATGCAACCCACGAACCCCAATGCTCACACGTATGTTAATGGTGATGATGTCGAAACACATGGAAATGCAGTCATGCAGAACACTGTTCTGAAACAGTTTATTTACACAGTCTTGTACATCTAAAGTGTAAAGTGTAAAGTGTAGAGTGTGGAATGCAGAGTGTAAAGTGTGGAATGTAAAGTGTGGAGTGTGAAGCGTGGAGTGGAAATTGTGAAGTGTAGAATGCTGAGTGTAGACTGTACAGTGTGGAGTGTGGAGTGTAAAGTGTGGAGTGTAAAGTGTAGAGTGTGGACTGAAAACCAGAGACTCCAGACGAGACACGTGGGAGCAGCAAAACGAGCATTTCGTGCAAGACTTCCTCCAATTTTGTCAATTTCGACGCGTTATCAAACAGGTTGGAATGCCACAAAGTGCCACGCCTGCCACGCAAAACGACATGACAACCTGCTTGGAGACCTTCGAAAAGGAGAGGTTTTGAAGCTTCCCCCGTAGACACGGCGAGGCCACAGGAAAACCAGAGACTCGAAACGAGACACGTGGGAGCATCAAAACGAGCATGTCGTGCGAGACATCCTCCAAGTTTCACAGTTGGAAACCTCCAAAAAGGAGAGGTTTTGCAGCTTCCCCCTTAGACACGGCGAAGCCACAGGAAAACCAGAGACTCGAGACGAGACACGTGGGAGCATCAAAACGAGCATTTCGTGCGAGACTTCCTCCAATTTTGACACTTTGTAGCGTTTTCCTACGAGTTTTCTTAGGAACCTGAGAATTTGCTATCTCAAAATCGATGTTTCGTGCGAGGCTTCCGTCAATTTTCAGCACATCTCACAAAATGCCACGCCTACCACGGAATCTGCACCTTGTCGCCACTTGACGCAGCCCCGCCAATGCGACTCGCAAAAAACAATAAAAAACACGCAACACGACACGTCTAAAGTGCTGCGCCTGCCACGAAAAATGACGACACGTCCAAAGTGCTGCGCCTGCCACGAAAACTGCAACGCATCTTCTGAAAACGTCGCTAAAGTATTGTGCCTGCCACACAAAACGACTTTCAACACGTTGCAAAACACGTCTGAATGTCACGAAGTGCCACGCCTGCCACGCGAAACGAAGCAACGAGACGTTTGAAACCTCCAAAAAGGACCCCTTCTGCAGAACTTACCATAGGCACGGCCATATAGCAATCGCGCGGACGGTTGCGGACGGTTGCGAACGGTTGCGGACGGTTGCGAACGGTTGCGTTGCGGACGTAAACGCAACGTCGAGCGAACACACCCTCAGCCCCCAGACCCCAGAGTGAAACGGGAACCCTTGCTACGCATTCGGGTGATCACCTGATATCCCCATATATCCTATGATATCTATATCCTCTGCTATATCATGTTGATTGTTGTCCTTCCAAAATTTTATCTTAGAGAATCAGGAGGCCCCTGAGGATGCTATGCCGCCAGGACCACTCCAAGCCTTTTCACCGCTTTGGACAAAGTAGACATGGCCTCGAAAAGAAGGACAGCTGAAGCTGCCGCCCAAATGCAGGTCGCAACTCCACCACAATTCGGTAACTGTTGAAATCTGAAATCCTGAAGCACCAAAAATTCTTGGTGCGAATCAGGGCCACCAAAAATGCGGCATCTGTTGCAACAAGGGGGTGCTTCCCATGGCATCTGACACTTCGCATTGCAGCTGCGAGGCTGTGCTGATGAACTAACCTTAGGGATGCGGATGCGAATGATGTCTGGGATGGGAAGACCCGGTTTGGCCTCGTTGGTCCATCTACATCCATCTGCCATAGAATTTGTTCAGCCTGGAGGTCATGTGTGAATATATGTTGTCCCGCCATTTCCCACGGAGGGCCAGCCACATGGTGGGCGAATGTCGAATCCACCCTTCGCCCGGCGGAAACAGCTCGGCCTGTTTCCAATGGCCGCCCCGGTGGATCACTGGTGCAGGTATACGTATATATACAATATCATGTGCATATAAATATATATATATATATACATATAATGTGTATATATACAATATATATATATAATTATGTGAAATCATGCATGATCGTGATGTGCATCTCCATGGGGTCCATCAATTTCCTTTCCACAGCTGGGGAAGGCTCAAGGTGAGCCAGCGGTGGGTGTGGCATTGCTTTTGCCATAGGCTACGAGAGCGTTGGACGCTTGGAGGGAAAACAGAAGTGTGCAGCGAGGCCGCTGCGGTTGGAATCCACGGTGACGCTGCCAATCTCATTTGAGATTGGTAGCGGAGCCGGTAGCTCCGAAAGGGGACCGGCGACGCTATGCCTGCTGAGGACAGCAGTGATGGTGGTGCAAGCACCAGCCTTGGCTTGGTGCCGAATCAGTTAGCTATGCTGGTTCCAACTTTCAATCCAGCCACTGATTCCGTCGACACATGGACTCAGAAGGTGGAAATGTTGGTACTAGCCTGGCCCGAGACAAAGATCAAGGAGCTTGCAACCAGGCTTGTGTTGGGTTGTCAGGGAACGGCCTTCCAAAAGCTGCAACTGCATAGGTCCGAAGTTTTGACAAATGATCCAAAGTGCATTCAGAAGATCGGGGAGATCGTTGGAGGTATCTGGGGTCAGGTGCCACTTGAGCAGAAATTTGAGTTAGCTGAAAGGGCCCTTTACAGAACACAGCAGAAGAATGATGAAACATCTGACTCATACCTTGCTCGAATGGATGTTACCTGGACTGAATTGCTTTCCAAGAAACTGTCGCTGAGTGAACTCCAAGCCTATGTCACTTTGCGCAGCAGCCGATTATCACCAGAGGACAAGAAACGGGTGATTGTTGAGTCGGGAGCTGAGAGTGGAGGTCAATTGGAGCTTCGGAAAGTTTCAGCAGCGATCAGAATGTTGGGATCAAGTTTTTTTCAAGATGTGACGGGTCAACGCCGTGACAAGAGCCAGAAGGTCTATGACCACCTGACATTTGCAGCTGAAGAATGTGATGAATCAGAAATTGATGCGTACTATGGTCATGAGGAGACATGGGATGATGAGGCCATTGAGGCCTTAGCAGCGGAGAATGACGAAGATGCCAGCATGATTCTTCAGTTCGAAGATGCTGTAGCAGAGGTGGTACAAGGTGATCATGATCTGGCGGCCTTTTTCAGTACATATCAAGACGCTAGGCGTCGCCTTAGCGAGCGAGTGCGTGTGCGTGGTTTCTGGCCGGTGAAAAAGGGCATGGGTAAGAAAGGCACATGGAAGGGCAAAGGCCCGAACAAAGGCAAGGGGTCCAGTTTGGCCCAGAGGATCGCAAATAGCCATTGTCGGCTATGCAACCAGAAAGGTCACTGGAAAGCCGAGTGCCCAAACAGGGCATCCAATCCCAGTGGTAGCTCCTCAGCCGCTGAGGTGCCGACGTCCTTTGCCATTATTGACCCTGTGCTGAACACCGTGATCGATGTGCCAGTGATGGATCAGCCCATTTCGAATGCAGCTGATCCGCATGCCAGAACATGTGTCCATGAATGTCATGTCAATATTGCTGATAACATGGGACATAATGGGGGTAATAAGATAAGCAGGGGTAAGAACATGTCAAAGTTTTGGGCAGCCCGCTTTGGATCCAAACTAAGGCACCGACTGACAACCAAGAGTGATTCCGTCCGTAGGCCTGCCGTCCCTGCGATGTCTTTTCTAAAGGTGCCCAACATGTCCAATCAGGTCCTAAGACATGATCATGAGTTGACTGAGGAAATCTCTCAAGACAGCCGAACTGATGTTGCTTGTTTTGCCTCATCGGGCACAGTTGGCATCGTGGATTTAGGAGCTTCCCGCACAGTGGTAGGAAGCCAGCAAGTCAAAGAGATCCTGAATGGAGTGCCAGAACACATCCGATCTCGAATCCGCCGTACCAGCTGCAATTTAGTTTTCCGATTTGGCAACCATCAGACCCTGAGCTCACAGCATGCCCTACTCTTTCCATTACATGACATGTGGTTTGAAGTAGCAATTGTGGAAGGCAATACCCCCTTTTTGCTGTCAGCCAGTTTTTTTGAAACAAATTGGAGCGGTCATTGATGTTGAACACAATCAATTGTGGAGTAGAGTCCTGAACCGTGCACTGCCTGTTGGAACGTCGCCCAGAAACCTGATGCTTTTAGACATCAATGAGCTGTGGGAAACCGGAAATCAGACTCATGCAGGTCTCATGATGGAAGCCCAGTTTCAAGAAAATGCTGAAACCAACATCTCTTCGCAGCTGTCATCAGAAAATGAGCATTGGCGGCGGTCAGTGGATTCCGTCTTGCATCAATCAAGTGATCACACTAACCTAAGAGAGCCATCAGGTGGATGCCAACAGAATGCTGACACATCCGTGCCAATTCAGCCGACCACCATGTCTAGGCCCAAGATCAGTGAGCCCCAATTGCTGTGCGATCTCTCCCTAGACACCGGTGTGTTGAGACATGGCCACCTTAGCTCAAAAGATGAAGGCTCGTGCCCAGAGAGCCAAAATCGAAGACGAGATGCAGAGCCTCGAGGCATTCCAAAGGATGCCACTTTCCGAGATGAAACAACTGACAGTGGATTTTGGAGAGAAGTACAGAGGCCAAAGTTACCTGAAGGCATTTCAGGACACTCAGTGGTCCGAGTGGTTCGTGAGCACGTACTCCAAGAGCACCAAGACAACTCACCAAAAGTTTCTGGCCTTCGTGGAGAAGCAACTGGATGCCGAGGCTGGGGAATGTCCATGTCCGGACAAACCATCTACCAGTCAAGGCAAAGTGACACCGGACAAGATCAAGCTGTCTGTGAAGCCAGCCATCGACCCAAGCCTGAAGGATTGGGACAATGTGTCGGAGGAGGAAATGCCCAGCAGCCATGTGCTGGACCTCCAGGAACAGATGTCCAACATGCAGGCCAACCATCACAACATGCATCAGAGGATGTGCGGGATCGAGAACGCCATGCAAGATCTGATCACTCACATCAAGGGCCTCCAGGTGAAGACCGAGATGTGAGAGTGCTTGGCGACCATGAGGCAACAAGTCTCCATGCAGTAGATTGGGCCAAATCACAATTTTCTGATTTGCCAGACCCTGCTGAGGTGGAATTTGAATTTCATGCCACTACTCATCCCATGAGCTTTTCACAGGAATTCCAAAGATGGGTAAAAGTGCTCGAGAAAGAAATCAACATGCTCAGACGCCTGAATTTTGACTCAATCCGATCTTCAAGACTCGACGTTCTGGAAGTGATGTGTTCGGAAGACAGTGAACTCACCAAGCAAGTTCATCATCTCAACGGGAGGGCCCAGCGTTTTGGCCTCAAGGAGGGTGACCTTCAACAAACATCAGCCAGATTGCAGCTGTTTCGACTAATCCTGCTCCGTAAGCCCAAGAGTCTCTGGTATAGCCCTGAATGTGGACCGTGGTCAATGTGGAATTTTCTCAATATGAGTAAGTCACTTGAACTTGAAGAAAAATTGATCCTCAAGCGTTTTCAACATGTGTGGCAAATTGCCCTAGGGGTCGTGCTGTATCGTTTGCAGGTGTCCCAAGGTAACCACTTCCATTGGGAACAGCCGGGGGGATCAGACATGTTCAAATTTCCGGAGCTGGACGAAGTCCGACATGGATGTCACCTGTGCAGATTTGATTTGTGCCGTGTTGGGAACCTTCAAGATCCCAGATCGCATGTGCCCATTCGGAAACGCTTGGAAGTGTTATCCACCTCTGAGGACATGTATCATGAAATTCATGGAAAGTTTTGTCATCAAGATCATGAACATCAACATGTTGCTGGTACCACTGTATGGCAGGGGAAAACTATGTCCATGTCCAAGTTTACGCAACATTATCCTCCAAAGTTTGCCAGAACCATTGCCAAAGTGATGTTGCATGAGGTAGCCAAACCCCATATGATCTTTGCTCAGGAAGATGAAGATCAGCATCCGACCAAGAAACGCCGTTTAGGCCAGAAATTGAGTCCCCAACAAATTTCCGAACGTTTCCAAAGGGTGTCTTGGCAAGCCGTGATGCAAGAGGCCGACAAGGTTGCTCCCAGGGTAGGCATCAAGGTGATGGAACATGGTACACTACTTGACTTGGTCAAACGCATGTGTCCTCAACATGATGTACAGCATGTGGTCCTCTGTAGGGGTACTGACAGATGTGTTGGTCCCAACAAAGCTTTGCAAGCCTTCGATGCTCCACTCCGTAGGAGGATTTGCATTCGTAGGAGACTGGAAACAATTGATGTGGAAGAAGAATGGGAACCTTGGGGTAGACTGTCACTTAAAGCCTTGCGGCGGAAAGCCGTGCCAGCCCGTGTGAGCTTAACCGTGTTTGCCCGTGCCAAAGTTCCTGAAGCACTCAACGATGATGCTTCCATGCCGGTGAATCAATCACCAAGTGAGTCCACACCATTGACTCACGAAGTTCCTGAAATGACTGATGAATCCCCTCCTAAGCGTGCATGCCACCGATCAGCTGAAGAACCACCAGAGCAATCAGAGGATCAACAGCCTCAAACAGGTGATCAACGACATGTCATTGACTTAGCGTATGAAAAACATGGACCTGCCTTTCTGAATCTAGGTAAGGAAACTCAGGCATGGATTCTCAAGCTTCATAGGAATTTAGGCCATCCAGGTGCTGCCAAACTGGTGGAATTTTGCAAACAGCTGGGTTGTCCGGTCGAAATTCAAAATGGAATCCGAGAGCTGAAATGCTCAACTTGCCAGGAGCAACAGACTCCGCAAATCGCGCGCCCTGCAGCCATCCACTCCCCGGGTGATTTTGGTGATGTGGTTTCAATGGATGCTGTCAAGTGGACCAATCAACAAGGAGAACAATTTGTGTTTTATCATTTTGTTGACCAAAGCACCTCATACCAGACCGCGGTTGCAGTTCCATCGACAAGCGCCAAATCAGCCATACAAGCCTTGATGCATGGGTGGATTTCATGGGCTGGACCACCGGGTCTCATATGTGTTGACGCCGCCACGGAACTCAATTCAGAAGAGTTCTCAAAGTTTCTGCACAAACATGGAATTCCTGCAAAGACCATTGCTCCCGAGGCCCATTGGCAAAACTCACGTGCTGAACGTCATGGAGGGATTTTGCAGCAAATTTTGGGTAAGATGGATGTCGAAGAACCAATTTCCTCGCTGGAACAGCTAGCCAATGCCTTAGCGTTTGCTACTCACACGAAGAATCAATGGAGTCGTCATAGAGGATATCCACCTGAACTTTTGGTATTTGGGAAGTCTCGCCGAGTTGTAGGATCAGTCATTAGCGATTCATCCATGGCATCACACACTGCAGCACTTGAAGAGTCACCCGATGGGCTTCGCTTCCGTGAAGAACTGGCGCTCCGAGAACGCGCCAGAAAAGCCTTTGCCAGTGTAGATAATCATCAAGTGTTACGTCGAGCCATGGTTCACCACAGTCGTCCATCAAGGGGTAACTACTCCAAAGGAGAATGGGTGATGATATGGAAGAAAAGAGGAGAAGCCGATGGTCAATGGCATGGTCCACTCCAGGTGGTAATTCAGGAAAGTTCTCATGTGATTTGGGTAACTGGAAATGGAAAGCTCTACCGGATAGCCCCAGAACATGTGCGACCACTCTCAGCCATGGAAGAAACATCCCATCGACAAGTCATTGCTTTAGGAAAGCCTGCTGAAAGCATTCTACCATCAATCATTCCGAGCCATGGAGGGGTACAATATCACAACCTGATCAATAATCCTGACACTGTCAACTCAGAGAATATCCCACCTCAAAATAATCCCAATAACCTCAATAATCCAACACCATATATTCAAGTGCCTGAAGATCACCCACTCGAAGCCCCACTGCAGAATGCTAGTCCGCATGGTGAGTCCAATGGATCCGAACAACCAGATGATGAGCCAGAGGTTCAACAACCCGCTGGAGAGAATGCACCAGAGATGGACCACAATCATGTGGAAATTCCCATACCCGATGATAGCGACACAGACCTTGTATGTGAAGAATGTTGGCACTTGGAACAGGATCAAGCATGGTGTTTTGAAGTGAACCTTTGTCAACAAGACATTTGCAATTGGAGAAAGGAAATCAAACCACATGAGATGGCATTCCTGGTGTCAGCGGCGAAACGACAGCGATCGGAAGTCAAATTGACAAATTTGACACCTGAACAGCAGAAACAATTCGCAGATGCCAAGGCCAGTGAAATCGACAGTTGGCTCGCCACTGAGACAGTTGCCAAAGTTCTTCGCCATCAGATACCCGAAGAGAACATTTTGAGATGTCGATGGATTCTCACTTGGAAGGATGTTGAAACCACAGGATCAAATACAGATCAAGACCATAGCAAACCAAAACAGAAAGCCAAAGCTCGACTGGTAGTTTTAGGTTATGAAGATCCCCAAGTTGACTCGATTCCTCGAGATAGTCCAACCATGTCAAAGTTGTCACGCATGTTAATACTCCAGATGGCCGCAAGTCGAAGATGGACCATAGGAAGTTTTGATATTAAGACAGCGTTTCTCAGGGGTCAAGAACAGGGATCAAGAATACTTGGAATAGAGCCTCCAATCGAAATGCGGCAGCGACTCAGAATGCAACCAGGTGAGGCACTGCAACTCCTGAAAGGAGCCTACGGCCGTGTTGATGCACCATACCTTTGGTTTCAGGAACTAAAGGCTGCCCTTGAAAGCCTTCAATTCAAAGCTGCTCCATTTGACCCTTGCACTTTTGTCTTGGTAGATGATCATGGAGTGACACAAGGAGTAATCGGAGTACATGTGGATGATGGTCTTTGTTGTGGTTCAGAAATCTTTCATGGCAAGCTTCGTGAACTTGAGAAGAAATTTCCATTTGGGAGCCAGAAACACAAAGAATTCACTTTCACCGGCTTACACATCAAACAATCCGAGGATTTTTCCATCACTGTTGACCAACAACAATATATCAAGGATATTCAACCAATAGCATTGACTCGAGCTCGACGCTGCCAACAAGAAGATGTGGTAAATGAGAAGGAACGACAAAGCCTGAGGGGTCTCATTGGAAGCCTTCTCTATGGTGCCGTAAATTCCCGGCCTGATCTTTGTGCACGACTGGGATGGTTGCAAAGTCAAGTGAATAAGGCGAAAGTGGCCACTTTGGTGGAGGCAAATCGCATCCTTCATGAGGCCAAAGAACATTCCTCTGTAGCTTTGCGAATACAGCCGATCTCAGTAAAAGACCTTCGCTTTGTTGCATTTTCTGATGCGTCATTTGCGTCAGAAAAAGTTCAAGATTCGCATCAAGGAATGATTATCATGGCTGCCCACCAGGACATAGGTCACAATCAAAGGAGTCCCATCAATCCGATATGTTGGCATTCAAAGAAAATTCAGCGAGTGGCTGTCAGCACTTTGTCTGCAGAGGCAATGGCTCTTGCAGGAGCAGTGGATTGTTTATCATGGGTACGCCTTTATTGGGCATGGCTGGTAGATTCCAACTGCGATTGGCGTAGAGCAGATGGCCTTTTACAGAAACTGCCACCAGCGTTTTCAGCACTCCATCAGGACGAGGATTCATCAGAGACCTTTCCGATTGAATGTCAGGCGATTCTAGGACAAACCAATGTCAAGGGGATCTTAACCACTGATTGTAAAAGCCTGTTTGATTTGGTAAGTCGAACTGCGCCGCCAGCATGCCAAGAATTCCGAACACAACTTCAAGCAAAGTTGATTAAGGAACATTTGCATAACGGCATACAAATAAGATGGGTGCCCTCAGGTGCACAGATTGCCGACGCTCTCACGAAGATCATGGATTGTTCTATGTTACGTGCCTGCTTGAAATCAGGATGGTATAGTCTACATGATGAATCAGAGATTCTTCGAGCCCGCTCAGACCGAAGGTCACAGTTGAAATGGTTGCAGCAGAATGCAGAACCTTCAAAGCCAACTCACCCGGACCAACAGAGCCAGATCCAGCAAGGGGTTTGACAATGTTCTGTGAAAAGCCAAGTCGTCACAGTTTTTGTCATGGGGTTTATTATGTGATTTGTGAAGAAATCACAAAACTTGGGAAAGAACCTTCCGAATTGTCCAAAAGGGGTTTTCTATGTTTCAAGCTTGCTGCACTTTAAGAAGATGATGGTTGAATGCGCACATCACGAACAAAAGATCGTAGAATGCATGTGAAATCATGCATGATCGTGATGTGCATCTCCATGGGGTCCATCAATTTCCTTTCCACAGCTGGGGAAGGCTCAAGGTGAGCCAGCGGTGGGTGTGGCATTGCTTTTGCCATAGGCTACGAGAGCGTTGGACGCTTGGAGGGAAAACAGAAGTGTGCAGCGAGGCCGCTGCGGTTGGAATCCACGGTGACGCTGCCAATCTCATTTGAGATAATTATATATATAATGTGCATATAATGTGTGTAATTATATATATATACCAGTGTATGTACCAATATATATATATATATACACAACATTGTATGATGTATGTATGTATCATGCATGTCTGTAACATCTGATATAATAAATTATAGTCATTTACAATGCCATACCATCATGTACGGGTTGTCATCTCTCATGCGCTGAACATGATGGACATGAGATAGTCAACAGCCCAGGCGCGGCCGAAAAACCACGCCTCTTTGGCAAAAAGTTCTTGGCTGTCTCTGAAACCTCAAAGGCATGCTGATAGAATTTCACGAAAGAAAGGATTTCACTCTGGCAGTTTCTTGGGTAATGTTTTTTTCCAAATATATACATACATATATATATATATATATTGTAATATTATAATTATAGTTATATATACATATCATATCATGTAGAATACGGTAAGTCAAAAGAAAAGAAAAAACACAACACACAACTTGAACCCCGGAGGCTTGCCGTTGCTAGGCTTCCAAACCAGAAACAAACCGTGTTTTTTTAGCGGCCAGAAGACATGCAAAAAAAACAGATTTCTCGTGGAGAACTGCTGGCACCTGGCAGAGGGTGGTTGGTGTAGAGGTCCTTTTCATCCACATTCACCAGCCTGACAGCGTGGGATACCGTGGGCACATGGGGATGCCCAATGAGGGACCCAGCGCTGTCAAGGCACTGCTGTGGCGTCCACTTGGTCTTCTTCAACTTCAAGCAGACCTCGCCGGTGGCCAGGTGGCACTGTTGGCGCTGCTAAAAGTTGCACATGCATAGATTTGAAACAAGTATGTGTCCAAAAACGTACGAGTAAGTCCACAGCCAGGATGTTCCCCCAACTTAAACAGGCAATAAAGACAGTGGTTTGTGAAGTCATCTTTCTTTTGGACAACCCAAAAACACCATGTTGCACACCCCATCTTGGGTGATCATTTTTCAGATAGCCCAATTATTGGGAGAATCAAGTGAGGGCTGTGGGCAAACAAGACTTTAGGCCGACATAGGCCGACAACGCGCCCTTGGTGAACTAATTATGCAATGCCTAATGAGATATAGCTGATACGCTACCATTATGTATATATATATTATCAAATATAGGTGATGCATGAGCTACTTCAGCGGCTATGTCAGCTGAAATTATCTTGTCTCTTGAAGGGGAAGAATCCAGTTTCAGCCGGTGACAATCACAATCAATAAATACATCAGTTTCATGAGTCTTGTATCCCCATCTTGATACATCTTCTATTCATTTTGTCAGATCAACACACATTTTGTCAGCTTGGTGACATAGCCATGTTGCAACCCCTGAAAGATGCAGAAAATAGCATCCAATCCAAAGTCCTTATGCTCCACGTACATTACTGTATGGTTTATTTACCTACATTCAGGTAATTTGTGGGGTAAATTTAGGTACCTATTCCATACATGCAGCATCTGGGTATATTATTTCTTCCTCGTGCGCTACCAAAACATGTAATGTTAAGTTCATATTAGTAATCAACCCCGAATTAATCAACACCCACATTCCAAAAAAAGCCTGGCAATACTGCTTTGGGTTGGTCCCTCCCTATTAATAAACATGTGTGACCCTGCTGAGAAATCCTAATTTTGTGGCAGTCGGGATATAATTATGTTGTAGTTGTTTTTTAATGGTTGAAAAAGTAATGTTTTGAAGGGATGTCCCATGCCCAATCTCACCATCTCACCCCATTGGGAGGTAGGTTGCCAGTTGCCACTGGAAAGAGAAATCTCGACCCATTGGCAGGCAGATTGGTTGTTTTTTTGTATGACAAGTTGACAAGCCCTTAGTTTTTTCAATTTGGCGGACTCTCACCTTCTAGGGGGATTGTTAATACGAACTTGGCATTACCCTATGATAATTTAACATAGCCATGAAAAGTTGCCCATTTAAAGGTTATTTGATACCTATCAAGATGGTTATTTTATGTCATGTTATTTTCCATTGCCATCTTGGTCTGCTGGAGGACTTCCCCCCCAAATCCCTATGACATCACCATGTCGTTTTCTGCATCAGTTGTTTTGCAACTTGACCATATGTCGCAGCCACTACATGTTCATTTTTCCTGTGTTTTTCCCATGTTTTTTCCTGTGTTTTTCCCATGTCATTTCAAATAAAATAAGATAGATAAAGTTGATCATGTTCAATTGGCAAGATCTGCAGGAAAACCTTCATGATTAGCAAATGTCTTGGTTGCGGCAAATATTTATTTATATTTATATATAGCATACAGTATACTATACACCTATTTCTTTACATGTAGAGTGATACCTTGCCCCCCTGTAGCATGACGCATGTGTGTGCAAGTGCAACAGAAGATAGAAATAGTGTAGAATGACGCGTGTGTGCGAATGCAAAAGAAGATAGCCATAGCGTAGCATGACGTGTGTGTGTGTGTGTGCAAGTGCAACAGAAGATAGTCATAGCGTAGCATGACGCGTGTGCGCAAGTGCAAGAGAAGATAGCCATAGCGTAGCATGACGCGTGTCTGCAAGTGCAACAGAAGATAGCCATAGCGTAGCATGTTCAAGTTGACATGAACGTTATTGCCCCACCCACCCCACCCCACCACATCCCCACCCCAAGAGACACAGATTACACTTCCATTTCTGTTCAAGTTGACATGAACCTTATTGCCCCACCCACCCCACCCCACCCCATCCCCACCTCAAATGACAGAAACGCGTATTGTATTGCAGGTTTCTTCATACGTGAATGGTTCTAGTAACCCCAAACAGATGGAAAAGTAAAAAACAACCAAAATTAGGTCAGAAATATTTTCTAAGTCTATGTCTTTAAGTATCTTATTGGGGGGATACCCGGAGGATACTTAATGAATCCCTATGAAACATCACCCCCGAAGGGATCTCCTCAGTGCCATGCCAAGGCACAGATCTGGCACCCGCCTCACCCTCGGCCAGGAATTTCTTCCCTAGCTCCATGCCGTCCTGGCCGCGCATCCAAAGTTGAGTGTCCTAACAGTGTCCTACTGATGTCCTGATGATTTTTCTGTTTGTACTGCTGAATTTCCCGTAACATCATGTAACATCCAAATTCTGCGTTGCAAAGCATGGATTTCACTGCTGGACTTTCAATGATCCAATGATCATCGACCCAGGCGCTAAATCCGCTAGCCACAGGTCCTTCACTGCCTCCCGGCGACCCGCACGGGGGGGTCCCTCCAGGTTCACAGCCTTCATGTAGGGAACCTTTCGTCGACGCGAAAAAAAAACGCCCTGGTGATTTGGTCTCCAAAATCTCCAAAATACCTGGATTCTATGAGACCTGGAGACCAGATACCTGATGATACCTGGATCAGCAAATGGAAATCCAAGAGTCGACGAAGGGGACTGGAACCTGTTTCTCTTTAGAATCTTGTGAAGGGGACTGGGGGGCTTAGGATGGTTTCTGGAGCATTTTGAGATCGAAAAACACAAATTCGAGCATGATGCTTGGGATACAGTATGTTGGGATAATAATCCTGGCCATATCTGTCTGGTTTTCTTGACCATTTCCATGCTGCCGTGCCTTGATATTGCATGTCAGCAGGGCTGTGAAGGACTTGGCAACATGTTCCTCCCGCATGCAACGGCAGCAAGGCATGTTTTACAGGGGCACAGTCCAATTGTAACTACGTAACGTATGGATAGTTGATATTGGTATAAATCCATATTGGTATAAATCCATATTGATATTGGTATAAATAGCAATCATCAATATGCCCCTGTAACTACAGTCATTGCTATTGATGATAAATCATTTATCATGATTAATATGATTATGAATGATGATTGGTGATGAATGGTTGATCTTTGATGATTGATTATGGATGACTGATCATGATAATAACGCTGATGAATCATTGCATCTTTGCTCATCATATTTGCACGTCCCATTAAACCTGGTACTTGCAGCCCCACAATTGGAGACTCGATCCGTACCCTGGTGTTCAAGTAGCTATCATGTAGCTGTCACAAGTCAAAAAAAAACATCCACACTCTGGAGATTCAGAAATTTTGGCTAAACCGAGGCTCTCCTGACTTTGCCAACCTCAAGTCGTTGGGGTACCCGGTAGCCCGGTAGCGCGACCCACTCAAAATCGGTCATTTTTAAGGGACGAGGCCATCGAGGCCATCGAGCTGCCCACCTTGATTTGCACATTCAGAAGATGAAATTCTCCTGGCCGGAACTTCCGGAACCAAAAAAATCCACGGCTTTCCTGGAGTTGGAGATACCATGAGATACCGCATCACAGATTCATGTGATGCCTCTCTTGCGTGTGTGGATAAAAATATAAAAATATATAAAACATATCCTCGAGATCGTCCAGCTTTAAAGAACACATGTGATGTGGAGCACAGTACCAATAACCCATCGTTTAAGGCCTGCAAACCACCCACATTATATATCCCAACATGGTACGAGTATGATTTTTGATTGGATATACCACAGTGATCCACAGTGCATTCTGCAAGTTCTTGGTCATTGATCTATCAGAACTCCTTCCACTTCATGGTAGGATCCCCCGGTTCTATGAAAGATCAGCTGTCTTCCCGCCTGACACCGGCTTGCATGCTGGATGGATGTTCGCCATACGGCATCCGTGGTCTCCAGCTGTTCGGTCGATGGTTCGGATTTCCTTTCAATGGTTTCAAGTGTTTTTGTTGGGGTGGTTCACCAGATTGTCACCATGTGGGTCTGGGGAAGTAACAAGTTGCTGACAATCTGAGTGTTTCAACATGTTTCAACTTTTGATCTGCGGAAAAATATGCCACCGGCTTGCCCCCACAGCTTCGTCGTGCGGTCAATTTTTGGGTTCCAGGTGTGCCACCGGCTATCGACGGAAATGTGACCTTTGAGTTTGGGAACGTGTCATCTTATGCTGGTGGATAGGGATTCCCATGACAACAATCTCCAACAAACCAGATAGGCTGCTAACCCCCCTATAACTAGTCAACTAGGGTTTTGGTCACTCATCTGGTGTCCTCTTTGTTTAGAGATTCCGCCAGTGTTTCGCTGTGTAGTAACGCCAACGTCGCTGTTCGACCGAGGATCACGGCCAGCGAAGACAGAGCTCATCCCAATACAGAGCTTCGACAGGCAAAATGCAGGTAATGTCCATCACCAAGAACCCAAGGGATACAGCAACTACCCAAAAAAGAATCCCAGCCCTCAACATCTCTCACTTAGTCTGATTCCCCCGGGAGCAGGTCGCTTACCCCAAGTCATATCATTCCACCATAGGTGGTGGGTTAATCAACTTTCAGTCCCATTGTCCTTTTGGCCTTTTGGTTCCCACTGGTTCCCATGAATCCATCTGCAGCCTCCCTGCAGCAACTTTTGACACTGGCACTATGTGAAAAGATTCGTTGTGATTCTTCCTGAACACAGCGGGCCCAGATGGCATGTTCAAGGCATATCATGTCGGGAAATCCACCCTTTCCTTGGGAGCCGTGCTGCCAATTGTCGTTAACCATTTCATCTTGCTTGCATCATCGAAAAAGGGGGAGGAAAAAAAAACACGCAGTTGAATGGGGGTAGTTGTGAGCATATTAGTTCCTATTTGCAACCCTGGAGGGCCTTGATTATCTTATTGCATCCAAACACCGGGTGACATTTGATGGCTGATATCTTCACATAGAGGTATATAATATATCATTATATAGTATTATATATCATTATATATCCACCCTATCTATCGACCCTATCACCAGCACCATCCTCTGATGCAATGGATCTTCACATAATTTCACCACCAAATCTACGTGTACAATGTCAATTGAAAGCCAGGCATGTCAACGGAAACGCTCACGAATTGTCATTGCAAAATGGCCATTGTCTGCCACTAAACAGAATCTGATTATGTAAGTGTACATCTGTGATCTTGATTAGAATATGGATCAGCTTGTACCTATATCATCCAAGTCAGCACATGTGGATCTCGTTTTTAAATGTTTTTAATACAACATGATCGATGCCACAGTGCAATTCCCACACTATTGTTCATCCAGTGCTCTGGTGAACAACCAACGTCCTGTAGATGCAAAAAGTATGCTTGTGCCATGCTGAACATGACCAGTCAATTTTTGTTTTGCGCAATCTCACATGGTGTGATCCGTGCCAGCTATTTGCATCAAAATTTGGACCCATCATCTTGCTTCTACCACTAGCCCTGGAAAAGTCTCTGAGCTACCATGCTGGGCCCTCTCTACCGCGGCCGCATCGGCCGTCGATTGGCCGCCCCGCAATCCAACAGATCGGGGCTGGAGCAGTCGTTGACCGGCGAAAGAAATCATTGGTAACAAATTGCTGGAATAGCACATATCTTCCCCGTGGTCAGTGTTTCGCACTGCTCCCCTGGAGAATCCGCGTGAAACGAGGCTTGAGAATCTGTACCCCCCGCGCAATGCCACGACGCTCGGGTGCGTTAAAAAGAACGCCGCGACATTTTGGGCACCGACCACGATGAGAATACCAAAAAGGAGAAGACTCTGAAATAATCTGAAATATGCCCCGAAAATGGCCAACATTGGAAAACTGACCCTCAAAAACTGTGGCTCCTCCAGCGAAATCAAGAATGATCCTCCAACAAATGGAAAATGATAAGCCCTGCTAACCAGTGCCCGTGTCCATTCAGCCTTGACTCCTTGACTTTGACTAGGATATGTGGTCTAGTCCAAAACCTTTGGAAGCATTTTTGTCTTGTGCTTTCGTAGCAGAGGACTCTCCTCCAATGTCTCATCATGACATCTAAGCATTCCGTTCACATTATAAAGTCAAACTGGGATCCTTTCCAGAGTGATCCAGCATCCAGCCGAAGCTGGTTTTGTTCTTGCAACACACAGGAGAAACCACAAAAAGTTCAAATTCGCGAGAATGGGTTTCACCGTCACCAACACCTTCCAAGATGGAACATGATCTCTAGATTCTACCGTTACATTGCAATGCATGCCCCTTTTCTACCTGGTGAATTTCTTGTGTTGTTTTGCATACCTTGCAGCCAGAGGAAGAATACAATATATAATTGGAAAATATCATAAAACAATATAAAACATCATTATCATATTGATTCATAATTGCCATTCCTGGATGTTAGGAACTACTATAATTACTATTACTAATATTGCCATTAGTTCCTTCATGACAATGTCATAAACTCCGCATTGGTGACCACGAAGTTGTATCAGTGACTTGCACAAGTGGCCGGGGGACAACGATGCTTTTCACCTGCAACAAATGGGTACGTGTCAAAATATTTTTTCTAGTCCCCCAAATCCATAAAACATATCTATTTCAACTTATTTCCAGACATGTCTTGAACGATGCAGTTTTGCGGGTCACCGGATGGAGCTCCTCAATTAGTGCTCTTAGCTTATTCTCTAAACACCTGATGCAGTTTTGCTCAAAACCGACCTCTTTCCAGGTCTACCCCAGTTGCTGTCTCAGCTGACCGCCCTTCACTTGGCCTGGGAGCGATTCATCCCAACATGCACCAGTGGATACCATAAGCTGCCCAAACAAGAAAAACAAGAAACATGGAACCCACTTTGCCATTCCATGTTGGGGTCAACAAACGAAAATCAAATGTCTGCCACTGTCTGCCACCTGCGTCTGCCACAAGTTGGGGGGTTCAAAATCATCCAGAGGTCAGGCTTCCCAATACAAAAGCTGCAAGGTGCCCCTCAAGCCCTTGAAACCGCTTTGAACACACTTTAAGTGTGAATGATTCTGACTCACTCCCTACTTTAGGGTACACCAGTTGTAAGTGGATATACAACCATAGGTATAGCTATGGGGGTTATATTCCAACTTGCGAGGATTGTCACCCTTAATCCCAACTGCACCACCACCCAACATCTGTCAACTCACAGATGCAACGCACCTTTTTGTTGTTAAATCCTGTTGAGTCCCCTGTACCCTGACCAGTCCCCAATTATAAAATGATCATCACCGGACCATTCTTGGCCGGTAAGATTTCGTTTTCTGCATGATATACCCACTGCTATTGCTTGATGTATTTTGTGCTATGGTCAACAATGGTCAAAACGCAAAAATGGGAGATGTGAGATGGTCAGCATACACCCAGCAAAAAACAAATGTGGCACCAGGAAATCCGTTCACTATCCGAAAGGTGAGGGAGACATCGCCCGGAATGGAACTATTTGGGGGGGTCTAGTTTCAGTTTCAAGTGCTTCTATAACATTCTATAACCATAATTAACCATAGATATCCATAGATTATCATAGTTGTACGTTCATGCTAACCAAAACTGGGGCTTAAAATCCCATAGGCATGTTCCCACTAGCCTTCTCCAAGGACTCATCAATCTTGGCTTTGATCTGGTCGGTCACCTGCTTTCACCATCGCTTGGATCAAGGGAGGGGATTCCGCAGATTCCAATCTTCATAACTTATGGTAATCCCATAATCCCCAAGATCAGCCAAGATCTTGGGTAGTACAAAATCCGTATCATCAGTATAAATATGTATAAATATATCTAGTATAATCCCCATATTCCCCTGGTAATCCCATATTCCCCTAGTATTCCCCTAGTATAATCAGTATCATCCCAGAATCACCAGGATCCCAGCCCTCAACTGGGTGGCCATGTACTCCCCACGCTTCGCCACGCCTTGTACTCGCTGTTCAGTTCAACCACCTGACAGGTCATTGGCAAGCCGACTTCAAGACTATCGCTTAGTTGTACTTAGTTGTGCTTAGTTGTGCTTGATTGGAAAGTTCTTGGTTCCGAAAAGAATGTTTCGGATGGCGTTGTCATCTTCTGCCACTTCATCTATATAAATCTACTACATCTGCTACAGCAGTGTCTTCCAAACAATCCTGAAAACCAGCTGCTTTCATCTTCTATCCTCCACCACTGTCAATGGTATCGCACTCGCAACAGCATCATGTTTGGCTTTGTTTCCAGGTGACATCCCCAATGTCTGTTCAGATTCGTACACTCCATTCTTCAGTTCGACCACACGTCTAACCTTGCCCTGCAAAGGTAAAAGATCTTTGGAAACTTTACAAGTAGGTTATGCACACAGCCTCACAATACACGCAATCTAATCTATCTATGATAGAACTATTCCTTAAGCCCTTTTTTGCGATATCATTTGATCCACACGATACAGTAGCAATAATCGACAGGAAACCAGGGTTTTACTAGTACTTTTAGGGGTGCCGGTACCCTCTTGTGACTCTTGTAATTTCGCATGGCCATAGAACACCACCATTCAAATCATTGGTAAATCATTGCACCCAAAAGGCCCTATGTGTTTTAAGAATCGCAGAAGGTGTAACCCAACCAAAAATCCAGAAGGGGCAAATCGAAACTCCTGGAAATATCATGGGATTACCATTTCCCCATGCCTTCTTCGCCAATTGGTTCGCCAGGTCAGTGCCGGCCAGGAGCAAGCCGCCCAAAGTGTCCTTGATGCCCACATCCTGAGCCGGCCCGGAGGAAGTCAGTTTTTTTGAGTTCAAGAATGTATAAGTATAGAGAATATATATATATATATTATATGTAATTTGTATGTATGTATATAATTGTATGTATAAATATTCGATCTAGTCGAACCAAATCGAGTCTTTCATCTAATCTGTACAGTAGATGGAATCTATACATTCTCCATGGGAAAAAAGATTGAAGCATCATCCTTAAAATGGTGGAAATTGCCTATTGGACAAAGGAGGGAAGGTTCCCACATGTCCTGTTCAAAAATCATAGCCCAGTTGCAGGGGGGCAGCACTACTAACAACCATCGTTGAGGCACTGTTTAAAATCCTAATATCTCCACTTTGCACATCTACCGACCCTGTCAAAGATTTTGACGCATCTAGGTCAATATCTGTGTCGCACAGGACCAGTCCAGCTATGCCTGCTCGGGGTGAAAAGCCAAGCCCCAGGGCTTTCGCCGATATTTTGAGGAACATTGATAGAAAAAGACCGTCCACAGAATGACATGCTGACGTTTCTATTTGCTATCCACGGGCTCAAAACGTTGGTACCAATGGACCTACATTCTTTTTCTGCGAGTCATCCAGCAATTGTTCGCGGTCA